GAGTCTACCCTTTGTTTACCGGGATAGGGAGCTGATAAGAGTGCCTAGTGATGCTAAGCTGGCTGATTTTTTTTTGATATTTTCGTATTGGAGTTTCTTAAGTAGTTAGTTTCTTACATGTTTTTATACTTGTTCATTTTCATGGCGTCTTGGGTATAAAAGGTGGTTTTGCCGTTTGGTCTTCAAAGCGAAGTAGATACCCATCTACATGCTTTCCTCGATCAGAAAAAAACATTGCTTCCAGAGATGTCCAGGCCAAATAGTAATGGAAGTTTAGCAACTGATTATGGAAACTATGAGAAACCAGAGACCGTGATGCAAAATAGTCTTGCCAGGGAAAGAATACTCCGTCCAAGAAGCTTACAACTGAGGAGCAAGCAACAGCAATGGGTGGTTAGTTTCTCAGAAGCTGTAGCCTTTTTTTTTATTTATGTTGTGAATCATATGCCTGCATCATATTTATTTTAAATATATCTCTGTGTCTGTTGGCAGGATTCTCCAGAAGGCCAGAAAATGGTAGAGTTTCGCAAAACCCTTCCTGCTTACAAAGAGAAAGACGCACTACTGAAAGCCATTGCAGCAAACCAGGTGAACCGCAATTCTTCCATTTACTTCATGTACATATATCAACTAATTTTTAAATATTTGACACCCTGCGTGTCATCGTGTGCCTCTTGCAGGTCGTAGTGGTTTCTGGAGAAACTGGTTGTGGTAAAACAACACAGCTTCCCCAGTACATATTAGAATCTGAGATTGAGGCTGCCCGTGGAGCTTCATGCAGCATCATATGTACCCAGCCTAGAAGAATATCTGCTATATCTGTTTCTGAACGAGTTGCTGCAGAACGTGGAGAACAAATCGGAGACTCCGTAAGTTTCTTATACGCTCTTTTCTTGACCAGTTGTTGTGAGTTACTGTGGAATGTTTAATCTACCTATACTGATTTAGTGGGATGAACAAATCAGATTTTAACACTATGACCTGAGAGGAAATTCTATATTGTGACAATACTTTTTGAGGTTGATTTGCACTATCTTCTCTTGGAAGGTTGGCTACAAAGTGCGGCTTGAAGGAATGACAGGGAGAGATACACGTCTTCTTTTTTGTACAACTGGTGTTTTACTCAGAAGGTTACTTGTTGATCGTAGCCTGAAAGGTGTGACTCATGTCGTAGTTGATGAGATTCATGAACGTGGGATGAATGAAGGTAAATTTTGGTAATTTACCAAAGGGGATGAATGCCATCAGTACTGCCAGTGTCATATTAACACACTCTTTCTCTTTTTTTGTCAGATTTCCTGCTTATTGTCCTGAAAGATCTCCTTCCTCGTCGACCTGACCTAAAGTTGATTTTAATGAGTGCTACTTTGAACGCTGAGCTCTTTTCTTCTTATTTTGGTGGTGCACCAGCCATGCATATACCAGTTAGTTTATGCTTATGCACATTCTTTTGCTTAACATTTTTCTTTCTCCATATCCGGTGAAATGTATCTCATTTAGAAGAGTGTTTGAACTAAAGTGAAAATTACTGTACAGGGTTTTACATACCCTGTCCGAGCCCATTTCTTGGAGGATTATCTTGAGACGAGTGGGTACAGGCTGACAACATATAATCAAATTGATGATTATGGTGAGGAAAAGACATGGAAGATGCAAAAACAAGCTCAGTTCAAGAAAAGAAAATCCCCTATATCCTCTGCTGTTGAGGTACGGAAAAAGTTTGTTTTATTACACTACAGACTTTGTATCTTCTCAGGTTATTTGCGTAAAAGTATTTTTCTTCTGAATGTATGAGCAGGATGCTCTTGAAGCTGCAGACTTCAAAGGATACAACTTTCGTACTAGAGATTCTTTGTCATGCTGGAGTCCTGATTCGATAGGCTTTAACCTCATTGAGAATGTGCTTTGCCACATCGTCAAAGGAGAGAGACCTGGTGCTGTTTTGGTATTCATGACCGGTTGGGACGATATAAACTCCTTGAAGAATCAGCTTGAAGCTCATTCTCTTCTAGGAGACCCGAACAAAGTTTTGTTACTTGCCTGTCATGGATCCATGGCCAGCTCTGAGCAGGTAAATCTAGTGTCCATTATTTGCCTATCTATGCATACAAGTACAACACATGTTATAATTTTAAAAAAATTTGTATTCCTCTCTTGCTATCATTTTTGTGATGATGTTTTCATTTTATTTTCTACAGAGGCTGATTTTTGATAGACCTCCAGAAGGAATTAGGAAAATAGTGCTGGCCACCAATATGGCTGAGACAAGTATCACCATCAATGATGTTGTATATGTGATTGATTGTGGTAAAGCAAAAGAAACGTCTTATGATGCGCTTAACAATACCCCTTGTCTGCTTCCATCTTGGATTTCAAAGGCAGCTGCTCGACAAGTAAGAGATAGACATCAATGTTTACTGCTCAAAATATATTTTGATTTACATTCTTGTGTAGTTGTAAATAATTGTGCCTTTTCTTTTCCTCTATTACAGAGAAGAGGAAGAGCTGGTCGTGTTATGCCTGGAGAATGTTATCACCTCTATCCTAGATGTGTCTATGATGCTTTTGCTGACTACCAGCAGCCGGAACTTCTAAGGACGCCGTTGCAGTCTCTGTGTCTACAAATTAAAAGCTTAGGACTTGGAAGCATTTCAGAGTTCCTCTCCAGGGCGTTGCAACCTCCTGAAGCATTATCGGTATTTTTCTGCTACAGTTTTTTTGTTCTCTCCTCGTTGGGTTTTCCTTTGGGGTTTAACATTTAGTCTTGATGGTCATGTTGATTTTCAGGTCCAAAATGCTGTTGAGTATCTAAAAATCATTGGGGCTCTTGATGACGATGAAAATTTAACAGCTTTAGGTATGTTTCTACGGGACATTTTTCCGTTATCTTAAATATCTGTTTTCTCAAGTTCTGGCAGGAACTCATTATATGCTCTATGCAGGGAAAAATCTGTCAATGCTTCCTGTGGAGCCTAAACTTGGGAAAATGCTTATTTTAGGGGCTATCTTCAACTGTTTAGATCCAGTAATGACAGTTGTTGCTGGTCTTAGTGTCAGAGACCCATTCCTTATGCCATTTGACAAAAAAGATGTAAGTTTATATTGAATGATTCATTCATATTGCTTTTGGCGAAATGCTCCTCTCAATTTACTGGAGGCCAGCAGAAAGCCAAGAAGTGCCTCTAGTTATTCACTTGATTCTTTTTATTGCAGCTAGCAGAAACAGCAAGGTCCAAGTTCTCTGGCCGTGATTACAGTGATCATTTGACATTGGTTCGAGCATACAGTGGTTGGAAAGATGCTGAAAGAACACATTCTGGTTACGAATATTGCTGGAAGAACTTTCTCTCTTCTCAAACTCTTAAGGCCATGGACTCTATGCGGAAACAATTCTTCAATCTCCTCAAGGAGGCTTCTCTGATTGATAACATTGAAGGTTGCAGTAAGCTAAGTCATGATGAACATCTTGTCCGCGCAATCATCTGTGCTGGCCTGTTCCCTGGAATTTGTTCTGTTGTTGTGAGTCGTCGTCACCATTGCGTTTACTTTTCACCTCTTTGTTTCCCTAAATTTTGTAGTTTTACTCTAATATAAAACTATTCTCCTCCACAGAATAAGGAAAAGTCAATTACGCTCAAGACAATGGAAGATGGGCAAGTGCTTCTATACTCGGTAAGTACAGTATATCTTTTTAGCTTACCAGTCTTCAAACTCTCCTCAGAAAGAAGATCTTGAGCTGCTTACCAACACCTGCTTTTTGTATTTTTCAGAGTTCTGTGAATGGCAATGTACCAAGGATTCCCTTCCCTTGGCTAGTCTTCAACGACAAAGTGAAAGTCAATTCTGTGTTTCTGCGGGACTCCACTGCTGTATCTGACTCTGTGCTTCTTTTGTTTGGAGATAAAATCTCTTCTGGTGGATTTGTGAGTTATAATCCCATCCTATTTTGTCAATTTCTTTCCTTGTTGGTCTTCTTTTCACATCTGATTTACATCATGTCGTTTCGGTGTTCCCCATAGGATGGTCATCTCAAAATGCTTGGAGGATATCTAGAGTTTTTCATGAAACCTACTTTAGCATATACGTACCTTTCGTTAAAAAGAGAGCTCGACGAACTTATTCAGAATAAGGTAAAGTTCCAACCCTAGTCTTGAGGATACATCTTTTGATGTTTTTACCCTCTCTGACAAAGTTTGTTTCTCGTCTTTTCTACAGCTTGTGAATCCAAAACTAGATATTCAACTATACGACAAACTTATGACTGCCATTAGATTACTTGTGTCAGAGGACCAATGTGAGGGCAGATTCGTCTATGGCCGGAAAGCTCTAAGCCCTACACCAACAAAGAAGTTAAAAGAAGTAGGGACTCAGCTGCAGAACAGTGGCGGTGAAAACAACAAGAACCAACTTCAGACATTGCTTGCCCGAGCAGGACACGGATCACCTGTGTACAAGACAAGACAGCTTAAGAACAACCAGTTCCGCGCTATGGTTACCTTCAATGGATTGGATTTCATGGGGAAGCCATGTGGTAGTAAGAAAAATGCAGAGAAGGATGCAGCTCATGAAGCTTTGTTGTGGTTACAAGGCGAGTCCAAGTCGAGTCTGAATGATCTTAACCACATGTCAATACTCTTAAAGAAGAACAAAAGTAAAAAAACGGCGCAGGCATCAACTAAATGGGGTTAACAAAGAGAAATGTGAATCTGCACTGGTATGGATTCTTACCAACCTCGTGATCTCTCAGGTTTGTTGTCAGAAAGAGTCAGCAGATTCGTATAGACGAAAATTTTGAGTTGAGAGGGCTTGGTGCATTTTGGTTGAAGTTTTCAGATTTGCAGATGATTTATTCAAGTTCTTGGTTCAGTTGGAAAATCAAGAACCCAACCAAGAAGTTACTTCAGAGCTCTCTAACATATTGCTCTGTAGGTTCTTTGTGAGTAGTAAGATCAAAAGAGAGTGGCTCGTAGAACTGGTCTTGTTATGTCTCTGTTCTTGTCTTAGTTTAGAGCTTATGATTCTTCTTTATCATTGTATACACCTATATATACATATAATCTTAATGTAAGATACTTAACCAGAGATTTCAATATTTTGTTGTGTAGCTCATAAACTGTCTGTTTTTTTTCCTTGTGTGTATTCATCATTCGTTGCCGTTTGGAAAAAAAAAAACTAAAAAATGAACGTTGCCGTTTTTCTTATGTAAAGTAATCATAGAAAAGGCCAAAAATGTCTTATGATCCCTAATTTTCCTAGAAATCCCAAAAAATTATACTCATTATCTTCATAATTTGACAAATTGATAAATCTGTGTTTGATAAGGGAAAAGTCCCGTTTAACACTCAAAACACGAATGAAAAATTGATAAATTTGTATTTGATAAAGAAAGCCCATTTTTTCTATGGTAGATTGTGTTAGTAGCTAGGGCGAATTTAATCAAGAGAACAAACTGTAATCTTTGGATTGAATAATGATTTGCCTTAAACCTCCTATTGATGATAAGATCATCAAAATAACTCCAAGCACTATACATACCTGTTACATACGAATCTCATTGTTAGATTTTTTGTTTGAAGCAATTTTAAGAGTTTATCTTATTTGTTATAGTTATTTGAAATAATTTTTGAGAGTTTTGAAAGTACACTAATTTGAAATAATTCTTTTTATAAAATATTAACGAATTTGGACAAAACAAAAGAGACATTACCCAATTGGTCCACCACGACAGGCTAAACCTCTTTGGTTTATAGATTAGCAGCCACATTATGCAAGGAAGCTGCAGAACAAAATTGTAAAGCGTACAAAGTTTATAAAAATCGAAAATAACGTTTATATACATGAAAAGCTGCATAAAGCTCAAAATTTTAATAACTAACATATAAACTTACGAAATACGTTGTTGGAGCAAACGCAAATCCCCCAAAGAAAGCGAGAAGGCCGCCAAAGAACGGTATCATTATGGCAATGAACATTGTTAAAGCTGTCCTCACATTATAAAAAAAAAACAATTACAAGTATTAATCAAATATCTAATTCAAATATATTCTTGAATATAATCAATTACAATTCTACATTAATAATCATGCAAGACAAAGTCTAGATCTTCAATCTTAACACATAGAATGTTGTTTGGCATTTTCTTTATATTTTCTTAGATTTATAAAAATTGTATATACTCTCTCTGTTTCATAATATAAGTCGTTTTAAGTAAAAGCACGCTGATTAAAAAGATCTACTTTTTAAAAGTTCAACCAATCATAAAAGAGAATGCATAATATAAATAATCATAAAATATTAAAGTAATAGTATATAATTTGCATTGAAACTCGAAAACGACTTATATTGTGAAACAAAAAAACTTTATCTAAAACGCCTTATATTATAAAAGGGATGGAGTATCTTTTAGGAAATTATTAAGAGATACTAACTCAATAGAGCACACCAACGAACTTACCAACATAAACATTTCGTACGATGAAACGAAGAATTGTAGAGGGTTTGAAATTTAGTTTCTTAACCAGAAATGTCTCCACCATGTCGAAAACCGGCATCGCAAATATCTGCAGTTAAAAACTTCTATTTAGAATATCAAACTTTTGCAATGTGTCTCACATGTACTTAAACCTAGAATATCATCTAAAAACTAAAATTTGGACCGTAGAAGTGGATTCCCAAAGACCGAAATAAATAGTTGGTTCTATTTCAGAAAGCCGATGGAAATCTCGTTTGACTGATCAATGAAAATTCCATGAATCAATGTAAAGTTATTGGACTGACCTGGTAACTACCAATGACATGCATAACGACGAACAAGTTAGCGGTTGCGATGGCCCAAACGGGCGTTTCGAGCGACATCAAAACGTTATCCAAAACGGCGTTTCCAAAAACACCGTATCCAACTAAAGCGACGGGAAAATAACACAAGGCTACAACCACGTAAGCAACCACGACTCCTCTCCACATAGGACCTTTAGAAGGGGTACTTGGAGTAGAAGGTATTGTTGCTTGGATCTCAAGCACCACATTGTGACCTGCATAAGCAAACGCAATGCCCCCAAGTCCCGTAAAGAAGCTTAAGACCGTTGACGCTGTCGTGCCTGATTTGTAACCATATTGAACGTCTTCTTGGACGCCCTTCGCAGCTGTTGCTGTCCAAGCAATCGTCGAATAACTATAAAAAAAATTCATAAATGATGATTGATATACCACTTTTTCAGAAGCATGTTTCTACTATTTTAAACTTTCCATCATTTACATGTTTTAACGTTTTTCAAAAAAAAAAAAGAATCATGTAATACAAAAATAAAATACCATTCATCTATTTTTATGTTTCATGATTTTCTCTAGTAATACGTACAGAAGATGATAAGTATACCTTTTTACCCAAAAAAACAAAAACAAAAAACGATGATAATTAGTATACCTAAGAGACATGACGGCGGCCACAAGAGAGACACCCGAGATGGAATTGAAGTTTGGGAGATGAGATAAAACGAAATGAGAAGAAGCAAATATCATTACGAAGAAAGAAAGTCTAATCGGTGAGCAATCTTGACAGGCGAGTTCATGAAACTTCTTCAACGACTGTCCTCCGGTGACCATATAAACTATGCATACTCCAACCTTTATTTGTTAAGAGTAATCAATACATATCAAGACTACTATAAAAAATGGTGGGACATTTAAGTCAATAGTTTTGTACTATCAAATCTGAATGCTCACTTCAACAATGATTTGCTGAGGGACGATGATATAAAGGCCAAGACGTTCACCAAACGCGAACTGGCCAAGTTCATGGTAACGGTCAAAGCGTTTTCCAGGAACCATCTCATGCATCTCCACCATTTGCCATAACGTGTAAAGTGTTATTATCCATGATAGTATCAGGACTGCTATGCCTGGTCCCCTAACATATATCACAAGATCTTGTAAAATCTCGAAAATTTGGCTCAATTTCATATATATCATTAAGTACATGTTATATTGTGATAATACATAATTTAGGTAGGACCTCTTTCAGACTATTTGGTGATTATGTACGAACTTTAGATCAAAAGTAAATTTATTGTAGTACTAAGAAAAACTACATTATTCAAAATACATATTTTTGTTTAAGCATTACGTTTGTGTTCAAAAGTTGCGAAGATTTGATGAAAACTTCAAATAATATTTTCCAAGAAATGTGACCAATATTTTAACAAATATATTTTAATGCTTTTTTCTGTCATAGGCAAATTAATAAATGCAATTGCAAAAAAAAATGTTGAAAAAATGGAAAATTGAGTACCATCCGAGTTGGGCCATGGAGTAAGGCAGACCAAGGACGCCGGCTCCAACCATGGCAGTCACATTGTGAAACGTGGAGTACCACCATTTCGCGTTTCTCGATGAAGTTATCGGTAGCCAATCGTCGATATCTTTCTGTCTCTCAAGCTCTTCAATCTATTTATAATCCAAAAAAGAAAGACAAAGATTAATCTTCTTAATCAAAGCAAAGTAAATTAATATTAAGGGATTGAGAATGAAAGGGTGATCTGACCAACCCGGTGGTCTAACGAACTTTGCTCCAGCGGCGGAGGAACTCCATCTGTCATCTGAATGTACATTTTTCCCGACAGATGTGATAATTCTAAACACTTTGGTTCTCTGGTAATCTCATAAATGACGGATATGTATAAATTTTGCTCTTGTAGTAGTTGTAGATTACAAAAGTCAACCTTATTTCCGTTGACTTGTATGCAAGTCCCGGACGCAATGGAGGGATCGTGGCCACTTTAAATGTTACATATTTAATGATCAAAAATGTAAGTTGCTTTACTTATTTTCTAATCAAAGTTCCTATTAAAAAATGTTTGTTCTAATCAACAAGAAAAAAAGAAAACAAATCAACTTTGATTCTACAAGCTCAAAACACAAAAATTCCTGCATTCTTTCAAACTAATAAGACCCCAAAAAGAGAAAGCAAATCGCGAACACTTTGGGGAATTGCTAAGAGAACAAACAAAAGTTGCTATTGCGGCATATTAGCGTATAAAAGAGCAAAAAAGAGTTTAACTTCAGGCAGATCTCTGATGATTTGTAAGAACCGGTTCTTGCTTGGTTCAGCTGTAATCACATTCATTGTTTTCTCAATGTGTGGTAAGACCTTTGCCAATGGTTTCCCTGTAGCCAAACCGCCCGCTATAGTCTGCGTTTCCATTTCCTCTACCAACGCATCCGTGAAACACTTGAGCGAAATTTCCACTATATTTGTGAATTCAGTGCTGCAACAAGAAAGACACCAAGAAATAAGTTCATTCTGCAATCATCCAAGAGTGTAATAAAAAGGAAAAATTTGTGTTTATCGTAGTCTTAGCAGAGAGACATTACGTACTTGATGAGTACTTCTCGGGTCTCAACCATGAGTTGATGAAACTTGGACACTGTTTCATCAGAAGAGCCGCTTGTGGTTCCTGAAAGCTTTGTGTCTTGAGGCATCATTAAATAATCAACCCAGTGATGTGGACTTCCAGTGCTCATAAACACTTCTAAAACCCGCATCACGGTTTCTTGAAGAACTCTTGTGGTAATTACATCCTTCAACTGCTTTCTGCAATTATAAAGAAAACATGTTAGAATTTTTCCAATAATAGTCAAATTATAAACGATGTGGATACAAATTTTGCAACATACCCTCTAAGGACTTCCTCGACTGCACCCTGCATATCTGAAATCAAACTTGGCATTGCATTGGTGACAAGAAAATCAGCACTTGACAAAAACTTCTGTTCATCATCTCTATCAATGAGATCTAACTCTTCCTGTAAAATGAAAAGGAATTTAATAGAGGAAACTGTGAAAAGCTCACAGGGCAAGCAGATCACAGGACAAGCGGCAGTCGCTTTAAAAGGTAACCTGGAACTATATCAAAGACTAATCAGGGTATAACACTTCAATTTTTTCAAAGAAATATAGTCGATTCCAAAGTATTAGTCCCAATCACCCATAAATCTCAATTGCATAATTGTTATCGCAATTAAACAGAGCTACTAGAGACATAATTATACAAGTTCTTAACAAAACGACCAATGAGTTTTCCCTAGAAATAGCTTGTTGTTGATGAGATAAGTAAAGCACACTGACTCATACTTGCGAGCAAATGGGAGCAGGAAAGAACGTGTGCAGTAACGATTAATAAACAGAAAATTCCTCAATACAGAGAAGAGGGGAAGCATATTATCTTACAAGGATATGAGAGCTGCCAAGAGCTCGTGCGGTGTCAACATACAAATGTCTGCCTAAAATGTTGACTTGAACCCTAATGTATAAGCTAAGCATTGTGACAGACCACAGAGACAAAACCATCCTCGTGAAACCTGGCAAATAACAAACACGTACATAACATGAATACAGGTAAAGAAACAGAACTTGATAGAGTAACTAGGTGAGTGCAGTGCATACTCAAAATCTTGAGCTCGTCCCAGAGCTGAAGCTTCTCAGGTGAACTCAACATTCCTTTCCCTTTGTCCAGTCTGTCCATAACATACGAGACATCGATCTCCTCGCTTATACGGATACTCAAATACTGAATGGCGTGAGGCAGTGTGGTCGAATCTACAATCATCTGAATACTCTCGAAATGTGCTTTCATTCTAAACAAGAGTAGTATAAGCAAAACAGATTAGTCAGAGAATCAATAAGGAACAGCAGAGTAGCTCAAAACTTAACTGCGTTTTGATGATTTCGTCATTTTCACGCTCGTGAGCTAGTTCTCGTTCCAAATCAGCAAGCCTACGAGTATGGGAATTGTATAGTTTGTAGAGCAAATACCCACTTCCTAAACAACCAGCAGTCACCAAGACCTTCCTTCTATGCTTCCTCCAAAAACCCCTAATTTTTGTTCCACAAGGTATTAAAAACCCTAACTTTATTCACCAAAAACCCTTCCTAAGGAATTGGAATTAGTGGGCTAGAGATAGAGAGGGAGAGAGAACGCAATACACTAAATTTGGAATTTTCACGAAAACAGTAAACAATTAGAAAGAAAGATGAAGCGAACAAGAACCTGACGAAATCCATGGCTGGTGAAGCTTTTTACTGAAGTCGAACCCACAGATACATTAGCAGAGAAAACACGTAGAAAGATGAAGATTCCCGAAGTGGGTCGTTCGGCTTGAAAAGGAGAAAACTTTGCAGGCGAGAGAGAGAGATGGTTTTTGCTACAGAGATGTGATCGATTTCAATCTAATCAATCACTTCATCTTCTTCTACTTCGGAATTCGAACATTTAAAACTGTATCTTCCACGGGACAGTCGAAGTTGTGTTCTTAAACTCGGTTTGTTTACTTTAATTGAACCGACTTTGAGTCTAGTATATTCCAACAATAACAGAATAACTTGTCGGGAGAGTTCTCATGTGGTTATCAAAATGACTGTAGTAACAAGTTATACTAGGTACCCGAGCTATACCAATTTCTGGTTAACCGTTCCTAAACATTTTCTCAGTTTTTAACCACCAGAACCAAAGGATATAAAAGTTCTGTTTCCATCAATAATAGTCATTATATAACAATAATTTAACTAGAAAATCTTTCAAATACAAAAAAAAGCAAGATTTCCACTATTACTTATATTTTCAACCAAGATGAAAGAATCAAAACCTAAAAGAATTTGGAAATTTTAGAGATGATACATATCATTTTTCGTCTGATAGAAAGATGAAATCTGGAGTAAACATGTAACACATTTTTCCAGTCGATAAAATGTAAGTTGTGTTCTCGCCTCTTAACAATTCTACGCTTGTTACTTCCGAAAGGAACACATCATTTCGTCAAAATAGATTTCGAAAATGGTTACTCTTTTTTTTTTTTTTTTATAAATCCTATCGGCTGATCCGGTCAGCCTCGGTAGGAAACGTACCGAAGTGCTACATAGTTGACTACTCCCGTGGTTCAACGGTTCAACGATTCAACGGACGCCATAAGCTTCGAGCGGATTCAGGTCGAACGGGTCATGAGATTCATGAGATCCAAAATTGGACCACCATACTGCCAGATCCGAGTTTGGAGTACCTTCCGACTAATGTCAGAGGAATACCAGATAAATTAATTTCTGCCAAAGCCCAAGTGACAGACTTCCCAAACAAATGTGTTTTTGTTTGTAGAGAGGATCGAATTCGGATATGAGAGTTTCATCGTTTCCCAAAGCTTTTCCTCCCAGTAGACCACAAATGCTTGGGCGATTAGCTCGTGGCTCGGATTATGTCGTCTTTGTTTTAATGCAACGTTGGAACCAATATCAATATACTGTACATAAGTTGAGTAGTGTAACCGGGCCTTAATGCTGGCCCAAATGAAGAGGAAACAAAAAAACCCTAATTATCTTGACAAGTATAAATAATCTCGTTTCTCATTACCTCCATTTTGCTCTCCCTCTTTGTCGCCTCTCTGCTAAATCGGCACCTCAAAACCCTAAACAATGGCTGAAGGACTCGTGTTGAAAGGCACAATGTGTGCCCACACTGATATGGTCACCGCCATCGCCACACCGGTCGATAATTCCGACGTTATCGTGACTTCGTCGCGTGACAAATCAATCATCCTCTGGAAACTCACAAAGGAAGACAAGTCTTACGGTGTTGCTCAGCGGAGGATGACTGGTCACTCTCACTTCGTTCAAGACGTTGTTCTCTCCTCCGATGGACAATTCGCTCTCTCCGGATCCTGGGACGGTGAGCTTCGTCTCTGGGATCTCGCCACCGGTGAATCAACTCGTCGTTTCGTTGGTCACACGAAAGATGTTCTCTCTGTTGCTTTCTCTACTGATAACCGTCAGATCGTCTCTGCTTCTCGTGATCGTACAATTAAGCTTTGGAACACACTTGGTGAGTGTAAGTATACAATCTCTGAAGCTGATGGTCACAAGGAATGGGTTAGTTGTGTTAGGTTTAGTCCTAATACTCTTGTGCCAACTATTGTATCTGCTTCTTGGGATAAAACTGTGAAAGTGTGGAATCTCCAGAATTGTAAGCTTAGGAACACTCTTGCTGGTCACTCTGGTTACTTGAACACTGTGGCTGTGTCACCTGATGGTTCGTTATGTGCCAGTGGTGGGAAAGATGGTGTGATCTTGCTTTGGGATTTGGCTGAAGGGAAGAAGTTGTATTCTCTTGAAGCTGGCTCTATTATTCATTCACTTTGCTTCAGTCCCAATAGGTACTGGCTCTGTGCAGCAACAGAGAATAGCATTAGGATTTGGGATCTTGAGAGTAAGTCTGTTGTTGAGGATTTGAAGGTTGATCTTAAGACTGAGGCTGAGAAGTCTGATGTTTCTACTGGAACCGGAAACAAGACTAAGGTATATATTTTTCCTCATTTTATCTTATGGTGAATTTGTTTCTACTGATGAGTTAGCCATTGCTCCAAAAGATGAGATTTTCATAAAGGAAGGCCTTAATACTCTCATGTGTAGTTAGTTCACAAGAATATATTTCTGATTTTATTGGTGGGTAAGAGAGTAGCTAACATTAGATTGAGAAACCTGGTTTTAAGTTAGCTCTGGTCTTTGATTTCTTAGATTGTATTGTCTGGTTTGAGATAGATTGTGGTTTATATGTGTTCTGATGTGGAATGCAAAATGCAGGTGATTTACTGCACAAGCTTGAACTGGAGTGCAGATGGAAGCACTTTGTTCAGTGGCTACACTGATGGAGTTATCAGGGTTTGGGGTATTGGTCGTTATTAGAGAGACGATAAGTTTCTTTAATCTCTCCAAAATTTCCATCGACTTTAAAAGTCTTCTTCTGAATTAGTGTTTTGAGGATTATTTTTTGTTCTTTCTATTTTCAGAATCCACAAACGTGATATTTTGATCCATTGGTTTTGTTTCATAATTGTTTGCTTACACACTGAGTACACCGCGTAGCATCTGATTTGAAGTTGTTACTTAGACTCTCGAACTGGCTTTAGGTTGATGAAGAACTGTAAAAGAGCAAGAATTTCTTCTTAGGAATCTTAAAAGTTAAAACAGCAAGGAGTTAATACCCTTTACTTTTCCAGTGGTTGCATCTCAATTACAACACAAGCCCTCATATTCCAAAATCGCTAAACACCATTGCACCAACCATTTTATCTACTTTTACTTACTGAATTTACTCAATTAAAGATGATGTTTGGTTTTCCATCTCTTACTCGTACAAAATTCTCAAGAGAAGACGACTCTGAGAGAGAGCTTTGTTAAGTTACAAGGCAAAATGACTCGAGCATTGTGTACTTAGCTCTGCATGATTTAGAATTTACCCATCTCAGAGAAACCGCAGCAATATTATTTCTATAGTCATTAGATGATAATACAACATTTTTGCACTAAATTAGGCTTTGTAAATTGAGAAAAGAAATATAGACTTCTTTGTTATTCTGTTTTGTAACATAAGAAATTAGGCTAATCTACCTCCTCTTGGATATACTGCCTTCTCAAATGTGACAAGTCTCAACATGTTTTGATCAAATAGACGTGTTTCTAAACTACTTTGACGTTTGTTATAGTGGACATGTGGCAAATGCTAGAGTGATGATTTGTCATTCATATGGAGAGAGTTGGCCAACTTTGATTTGATTTTTTTTTAAATGTATAGGTTCACAAATCCATAGGCTTTCGATAATATGTCCATTCGATATCATTTTTTTTTTGTCCAAATAAACTAAGGTTGATCAAGGACTATTCATTGGATTATGAAAGGAAAATTATCTTGTGCTTCCAGGTATCCTACAACGCCTTTCAAGCCATACATACTGGAGATAATGTGTCTCCAAGACATGGAGAAAATATAATGGAACATCAGATTAGTGAAAATATAGGTCGTTTCGCTTTGCGTGATTTAGAACTTACCCATCTTAGAGAGACGCGGCAGCAAAACTATTTCTTTAGTCATTATATGATAAGACAACCTTTTGCACTAAATTAGGCTTTGTAAATTGAGAAAAGAAGTAGTATATACTTCTTTGTTATTCTGTTTTACAAAATAAATAAATTGAGACTAATCTACCTCATTTTGGTTATTTGGATACTGCCTTCTCAAATGCGACAAGTCTCAACATGTTTAGATCAAATAGACGTGTTTCTGAACTGCTTTGATGTTTTTTGTTGTTGCCTCGTGCAGGTTCCTTAATTTGGACCGAACTTGGAACATAAGACCACACATATCGCCTACGGTATGGCTCTGCATGTTCTCCAAGATCCAATTCTCTAAAGTATCCAGCCTCTCCAATGATGTTAATTGTTTGCGATTGTCATTAAACCCAATGGCGACTTTCTTTTCCTCGTCAATGAAGAAACTTGTGTGTATAATTGGCCCCGTATTTATTCTCAAGAACTTGCTCCACGACACCATTTCGGTCTCAAGCTTAACCGTAATCCATATTTCAACTTCATATTTATAATACATTTGGTGTTGAAATAAAACTGCAAGCTTCTCTTCTCTAACACAAGATAAAATCACACATGAATGATCCCTAACGCTAAATGGCAAAGGCAAAAGCGGTCCAAATCTCTCTCTTGTAAAATCAAAACAAATAATGTGATCGCTATAACCGCCGCTCCTTATCCTAGCACACCAGTATGTGTTTCCCATGAGGGAAACACCACTTTGAGAAATAGCTATAAACCAGTATGGAGTGACATCAAGAGTTGTCCATAAATCAGAGTTAAAATCGTAGATTTCATACCAAAAAAATTGGTGTAGGCCGCGGTAATTCCTATGATAATCTATAAACCTCAATAATTTGTGGCTGCGACATGAACTCTTATTCTCGTTTTACCAAAAAAACTCTTATTCTCGTACCCGAGAGAGTAGTTGAACATGTACGTATTGTCCTTTCCGCAGAATGCATGGTGAGAATATCGGGTTTTGATCCGCCTTGTTTGCCCCCAATACGGATTCCAAACCACAAGCCTAGTAGTAATTGTATCGTCGTTCAAGATGCATAACAATAAACCCTCACATAGAAAGACTTGAGATATCTTGACTTGGTGCTCAAGAGTAAGGCAAGTAAGTTTACCTTTAGGCTCTGTATATGGATCTACGTTGTCATCGACAACGAGACTCTTTAAATAAAGTTTGTAATTCATCAACATGATTATCGTAGATTCCCCTTCTCTTGTTGCTCTTGTTGATTTAGTAATTTGCATCTTCGTTAAGCTCTCACTTATGGTTCTGGATAAAGTGTTCCAATTTTTGCAAGTTAATCGCACTGCTCTCATAGATTTCAAGGGAACCCTTGACAAAATCTCTTCTATCAAATCCCTTGGAAGATTGGAGATCATCGTCGTCATTGTTTTAAAATGCAACTAGGGTTTTCTTTTGTTGCCCTTTTTTTTCTTTTCTTCTCATTTCTTCTTGTTAATTAAGGGATATATATAGACCAATCGTGGGCATTAGCTTAGTCTCCTGCACCCGACAAAAAAGTGTTCCTTAAAATTTATCATACATTTTAGATTTTCTTAATGTAAAGACAATCAATATAAATAGTTACATACCCAAATTATCGGATATACTTTATAAGCATATATTTCCTATATATTTATCAAGAAAATTTGGAAAAAATTATTTATTTCTCAGATTCTTTTATATATTATTTGAATTAAAAAATGTATAGTTTCACAAATTTTATCTTTTTTCTATATATACTTGTTAATTTTTCATTTTTCAAGATTTGATATTTAATAAGGTTAAATTATAAACTTAACATGTGTTAATGAATCCAATCTAATTTTGGATAACAAATTCTATATATATTTTATCTTTTCTTGTCTTCAAAAATTTAAGTCTTTTTATTAAATTAAAGTTAGATGTAAGCTTTTCTAATGCTATTAATATATATTCTAATGACAATGAAAAATATTTTCTGTGAATGTGTGGCGATAAAAATCATTGGTTTTAGACTATTTAATGCAGGGAAGAGATCGTTTGCTCTTTGTGATATGGTCGGTGATGGAAGATAACGGCCAAAGAGTTCCATTTGAAGATGACCCGGATCCGGAATATATATAAGAGTTCCGATACATATATACAATGATGGTTATTTGAGCTGTGAGGGGTTCAAGGCTAATGTTGTTTAGTGACTTCTTGAAAAAGGTAAAATACTTTTTCACTAAGTGTGTCTTGTTTTTGCGGTAGAGATTCAACATTTTAAGCTTTTGAAGCTTTTGAAGCTTTCTTTTCCATCTTTTTCTATCAGATTTATTCCTAATGTTCGTGCTGATTGTTTTTGTTAAAAAAGTAAGAGTACGAGGTTTTTTATTTTTCCATGTAAGCTCATCGGTTACAGACCGACTCTCTTTAGAAGAAAACCTTCGATCGATATCTTAATAAAATGGTGTTTTCGCGGAAAAAAAAAAAAAGTGTGTCTTGCTTATATTCATTGTTTAGAGGTTTCTCAACTGCTATCAAAGATGCAAACAACCCAAACTTTTGTGTTGCGGTGGACCTGGCTGCATTTGTTGACTTTAGTCAGCTTGGGCATTTAGCCATTTGTGGACATCATTGTAGCTGTTCTCGGTCACCTATTGATGGTTAAACATTATAACATTTTTCGATTTCCAAATTAGCCAAACCATCACAAAAGGTAGAAGTCGGATATGTAAGAGAATGATTTGGAATTATAGATTTGGAGTATCATGTTGATATTCCTCTTAAGATGCGTATGCTCTCAATGTTACCAGTTGTTTCAACTTTGATGATCAGTTGACTTAAAATCTCTGCACATAGAATAAAAAGATACGAAGGCTTTGTGGAATTCTCCATGAAAGCTTTCAATTTTTTCTACGAAGTACCATTTACGAGGACAGTATGATATGATGTTAATGCACATCATAATCCAAATAAATTTTTAAACATAAAGAATATGAAAAACTGATTTGTTAGAAATGTAAATAAATAAAATTATAAATCTTATTCTAGAAAATTTATTAGTATAAACTGAATTATTTTTTGAAAACTTTCAAAATTAGAAAAGAAAAATTGTTTATAAATAATTTAAATATGGTACTTGAATAGAGAAGCAGAAAAACAAAACAAAAAAAAAAGGTTGGAAGAAACACAAAACTCAAATTTTATAACAAAAGCAAAAAACGCCACGTCATCGATCCGTGTAAATCGGCCCCAAAATACACTTTCAACGGTCAGATTTTAACTACTCTCTCTTTCGTCATTTTCCATCTCTCTCTTACACTACACAACACACTCTCTCTCTTCTCCACCCTAACTATTATTTTTTTTAATCTTCTCCTTCCACAAAACTTTTTTAAATTTATCTGAAATTAAAAAAAAAAAACCTAAAAATCAAAAATCTCATCACCTTCCTTGCTCTGTAATATTTTCTCTCACTAAATCCATGGATCCTTCTCTCTCTGTAACCAATGATCCTCATCATCCTCCTCAGTTCACATCTTTCCCTCCTTTCACCACCAACTCCAACCCTTTCGCCTCTCAAAACCACCCCTTCTTCACCGGAGCCACCGCCGTCGCGCCGCCAAACAACATCCATCTCTATCAAGCAGCACCTCCGCAGCCACAAACATCTCCAGTTCCTCCTCATCCATCTATTTCCCACCCTCCTTACTCTGACGTAAGCTCATCTGAGCTCATTCTTACATTTTGACTTTAAAGTTAGGGTTTTTAATTTTCACTCACTTAGAATTTTTGTTTCTTTGATTAGATGATTTGCACGGCGATTGCAGCGTTAAACGAACCAGATGGGTCAAGCAAGCAAGCGATTTCGAGGTACATAGAGAGAATTTACACTGGGATTCCTACTGCTCATGGAGCTTTGTTGACACACCATCTCAAGACTTTGAAGACCAGTGGGATTCTTATGATGGTTAAGAAATCTTACAAGTTAGCAGCTACTCCTCCTCCTACTAGTGTAGATGCAGCTTCTGGTCTTGAACCTCCCAGATCTGATTTCATAGTCAACGAGAACCAACCTTTACCTGATCCGGGTTTGGCTTCTTCTACTACTCCTCAGACTCTGAAACGTGGTCGTGGTCGACCTCCAAAGACTAAACCAGATGTTGTTCAACCTCAACTCCAGACTAATGGAAAACCCACCTGGGAACAGAGTGAATTACCTGTTTCTCGACCAGAGGAGATAAAGATACAGCCACAGCCACAGCCGACAGTTAAGAGACCGCCGGGTCGTCCTAGAAAAGACGGAGCTTCACCGACAGTGAAGGCAGCTGCTTCTGTTTCCGGTGGTGTGGAGAGTGTGAAACGAAGAGGTAGGCCTCCAAGTGGAAGAGCTGTTGGGAGGGAGAGGAAGCCTATTGTAGTCTCAGCTCCGGCATCGGTGTTCCCGTATGTTGCTAATGGTGGTGTTAGACGCCGAGGGAGACCAAAGAGAGTTGACGCTGGTGGTGCTTCCTCTGTTGCTCCACCACCACCACCGCCACCTAACGCGGAGAGTGGAGGAGAGGAGGTTGCAGTCAAGAAACGAGGAAGAGGACGGCCTCCTAAGATTGGAGGTGTTATCAGGAAGCCTATGAAGCCGATGAGAAGCTTTGCTCGTACTGGAAGACCCTTAGGAAGACCCAGAAAGGTAAAATATCCTTCCTTTGTGTCTCTGCGATTACACAGTGATGATAATTCTCAAACCCGAGGCTATTATAGAGAACGTGATTTTTGAATTTTCTAGTCAAATAGATAAGAGAAAAAAGTTGGAACTTTTGTCTTGTGAATAAATGTCACTTTCCATTCTCAACATTGTCTCTTTCGAGCGTGTGTGAGTAGAGAGTATCTAACTAAATAAATTCTAGAGTTTTAATTTATATTCGTGTCTCTGCTTTTGGCCTATACTTAATCTGGTTTTTGGTGTACTATTAATTTAAGATTTCTCTTTGTTTTGGTAATCAAGAGCAACTTGGTAGGTGGCTCGCTTTAGCTGCTAATAATTGTTGAGAATTACATATGAACTTAGCTTTTTGAGACACAGAAATCCAGCAAAATTCGTATTGTTAAGCATAGATTTAATCAAAGTTCAAGAATTTTGTGTATTTCCAAGTCTTTCTCTTACTGTCAGTTGTCCACCAGTAGATTATGTTAATCTATTATATTGATGAATTATCTAATAACATCTATATCATTGCCATTTATAAACATAGAATGCGGTGTCAGTGGGAGCTTCTGGACGACAAGATGGTGATTATGGAGAACTTAAGAAGAAGTTTGAGTTGTTTGTAAGTAATTTCATGAACAGAAACACAATATGGTCCCTTCTTGGTTTAATGCTTAATAATTGCATATTTCTCATTTGTGCAGCAAGCGAGAGCTAAGGATATTGTTATTGTGTTGAAATCTGAGATTGGAGGAAGTGGAAATCAAGCGGTGGTTCAAGCCATACAGGACCTGGAAGGGCTAACAGAGACAACAAACGAGCCACAACAGCACATGCCAGAATTGCAGCTGCCAGACGAGGAACACCCTGAAACCGAACCCCAACCAGAGGGACAAGGACAGACAGAAGCAGAGGCAATGCAAGAAGCTCTGTTCTAAAGAGAGCCTTGACACACGCACCTCATAAAAAAGCTAGCAAGTGGTGATGATGATGGTGGGTTTACTTGTTGTGTGTTGCATGAAATTTTTAATCTTTATAAGGGTGTTTGCAGGAGAAAAACAAAAAGAACAATGTGATGATGATGATTGTGTTGTGTCTCTAACCAAACAACAAGGAGAGGTAGGGTAATGTCTGTAAAGTGAATTAGGATGTTGCCATTGTTCATGCTTCCCATCTCTCTCTCCATCGTCCATATCTGTGTAGGCAGCTTTGTTCTTTGTTCCCTCGTGTTTTTTTTAGACTCTGTTTCTCTTATTCTATTTTGTCTCTTAGGCTTTTTAGGAGTTTGTTTGGTGTTGATGTTTATCAAAACTCTTATGTAATTTTTATGACCACTTCTACTTTTATGATGGTTTCTTCTTCAGTCTCTTACGTGATGTAGTCAGTACCATTAAATAAAATGTTGCTTATGTCAGTTGCTTTGTTTGTACTTCGAAATCCGGTTTAAGTGTAATTATTGCATAAATTAGGTAGAGGGTGGAACGGTTTACTCTTCTTCACTCAAACCATTTAACCATTTTTGTTTTTACTCGAAACACACCTTTTAGCCAGTTTTCAATACTTTTTTATTCTTCAAAAAAATTTGAATTTGAAAAATAAAGGTAGGTAATTTTCAATTTTGTTTTTATCAATGAACTTTTTAATTTTTTAGAAAAAGTTAAAAGAAATCACCACCAAATTTGCATGTATAAATTACTACAAGGTTTCTTCATTTCAACTGGCTATTAAAAGGATTTGTAAAATAATTATAGAACAAAAAATTAATTTTCGTGATATTTACTTATTTATTTTTAAAATCTGTAAAATTAAATTCGATTAAAAAGAAAATGAATTGTTGATAAAATTAAAAAAAAATAGAAGGACTAAAGGTGGACCCATATCGGTTGACGCAACGGATTCTGAACCTCTCGGTCGTTCGTTTTTACTCTCTCCAAGCTCTAGCCATGGTGGTGACCATCTTCTTCTAACCGCGAAAACCACCTCTCTCTCTTATCTTTCTTCTCCGCCAAGTTTCTCGTTGCAATTTCTTTCTTCTTCCTCCAGATTCCTTAAGCTTTCTTTAGCATCTCGCGAATCCTTCTACTAAGCTTAACAAGGTACGTGCATTGCGATTTGCGAACCCTAACTTTTCTCAAAACGAAATCTCTACGCGAGAGAGCTTGAATCTGTATTTTACTCTCTCTCTTCGTTTCTAGATTCTTGGTTTGTGACATTGAAATTTCTTTGAGGTTTTAGCGGAATCGAGTTTGTGGTTGTTTTAGTCTAAGTCTAGTCTCCGTTGAAGCCCGTTTTCTAGGGTTTTGATTCCGATTAACCGCCGTTTACTCACATTTGCTTTCTTTTTTCTGATTCGGATCTACAGATCTCATGGCGAAAACAGCTTCTACACATCCCGGGTCTGGTTCCGAAGCTTCAAGATCCGGTACACCTGGAGATGCGTCTGGCAACAAACCTCAGACGGATCCAACCGGCGTCTCAGCTACTGATACTGCTTCTCAGAAACGCGGCCGTGGTCGACCGCCAAAGGCTAAATCTGACTCTACACAAAACGGTGCCGTTTCTGCTAAGGCGAGTACAAAACCGAGTGGTCGTCCGAAAAGAAACGTAGCTCCGGCTGTTCCTACTACTTCTGTGGCGGCCGCTGTGAAGAGCCGTGGTAGGGCAAAGAGGTCGACTGTAACGGCGTCTGTGGTTACTACTGCTACTGGAGAGGGTTCAAGAAAACGAGGGAGGCCAAAGAAAGATGACGTGGGGGCTCCAGCTAATAAACGTGGACGGAAACCTAATGTCGAAGCAGTTGCTGCAAAGCCCGTGCGCAGCAGTACTAGGAAGGTATTTATTTCTCTTTTTACTTTCATTATCTTTATCCACAAAATGTCAAAAGAAATTTAGAACTGGTCTTATACCAATTATATGATTGTTCTTGACTGTTTGTTCTGTATAGAGTGGAAAAATTTCAGGCTAATGTGTTGTATTTGACTGGTCTTAAATGTGGTCTAATTGAGGATTGCGGTATCTAAAATTCCCTGTAATTGTTTTTAGAAAAATGTGTATCTTATCTGGATTTTGGTGTATTTCCGAAATCTTTTTGTATAATTTTGGGAAAAGGTCTTATTTAATACTGTTCTTCTTGACTGTTTCTTCTCCATAGAGTGGAAAAAGTTCAGAGTAATGTGTTTATTTGTGCCTGGTCTCAAATGTGGTCTATTTTGGGTGTGGAGTTTCTGATATTATTCGTAATTTTTTTCAAAAGATGTGCATCTTATCTGGATTTTGGTGTATTTCATAAAATCTTTTTTGTATAATGTGGAAGTGAAAGTGATTGGTCTATTTGGTAAGTCTTTATCATGTCATTTGAGTTAAAAAATTTACAAGTGTTTCATGTTAGACATAACCATGCTTATTGTATAATTTTAGAAAAAAGGTCTATACCAATTATATGGTTGGTCTTGACTGTTTGTTCTGCATAAAGTGGAAAAAGTTTTTAGAGTTTTATGTCATTTGTCTCTGGTGGGTCTCAAAATGTGGTCTATCTATTGCAGTATTTGATATTATTTGTAGACATATTGAAAAGATGTGTATCTTATCTGATATTTGGTGTATTTCCTTGATCTATTTGGTTAGTCGTTATCATTTCATGCTTATACAACCATGTATTAGTGTATACTTATGTCAAAGTCGGGTTTTCTATGCATGAACAAAAGAGCACTTCAGTGGCAGCACCGGTAGCTGCAAACCTCGGAGATCTCAAGAAAAAAACCACACTCTTAGTAAGTCATCTATCCCCACTTAGCTTCTATAAAGGTTTTGGTAACATTACTGTATCCATGGTTGCTCTATCCTTGCATCAATTTGGTTTAGAGATTATGTTGTGTGGATCACAAAAGAATACTAGCGTTAATAATCAACAGGACTGTAACATTAAGTAGTATATATAGCTTAGAAGATGGAAGTGAATGGTCATTTGATTAGTTAAAATTGATTCATTTCAACCAAAAAAAAAAAAAAGAATCTGATGATAAGTGTTTGAAATGAAAAATGTTGCAGCAAAAGAAAGTGAAGGAAGCTGCAGCTAAGTTGAAACAAGCAGTTACAGCAATTGACGAGGTCCAAAAGCTAGCGGATGGAATGTAAAAGAAAGCTACTGGTATGACTGAATCTACAAGGGATAACGATGATGGAGAAGAAATCTTTATGTGTTTTAGGGAATTTAGGAGAAAACATTCATTTGGAGGAAGACTGATTGGTTGATGTTTGATTTTCAATTTAGGGTTGTTTGTTTGGTACGTTCCTAGGATTGCTACCAGAAGAGGCTTAAACAGTAGTAGTGTTAAAATGGTCTTTGTGTAGCTCTGAGATGGAGAAACTGTCACTCTCCCTTCTGAATTTGATTTGCTACGTCTTTGTTATCAAGCAATTTTAACCTTCTTTTTCTTTGAGGTTTATGAATCTGGCTGGAGTTATTAGAGAAGCCTAAATATCTCACTATTTGAAAATCTTATTCTGAAATTGTCAAATATCTCACTATTTTGAAAATCTTTTTCTGAAACTGACAATAGTCTAAATTCAAATCTTTTCAACTAAATTACCGGCCGATTAGTTTAGAAACATAATTGATTGTTAATAAAAAAAAATTACGGGGAGTTGAGAAACATAAATATTAAATAACATGCGTATTTGGGTCAGTCTTACTAAACTCAAAACCAGAATAAGGTTTTTGGGTTGTTTCAGTTTCTTGTTGTAAGGCCCATTTCTGGAAAGTCAACGACCAGATTGACCAGTGATGATGTCGACTTCTCTTCTCTGTTTTCTTTTCAAACTTGAAAACCCTCGCGGCATTTGATTTCGATTTTCGATTAGGGTTTCTCGCAGATCCTCCTTCCTCGGCTCTTCAAGGTAACACAAGCTTTTGAATCCATTGAATCACTCGTTTCGTTTCTGATTTCACAGAAGATGATCGTTTGTTATCTTCGCTGTTCGATTTCATCACAATTCAACCCAAATTTTATGCATTTCGTTGTTCGAATTTTGAATTCCACTCTGAGAATCTAATTGAGTGTTGTATAACTTTGATCTTGCTTCTGGATTCAGAGATAGAGAAGATGAATATGCAAGTGGATACAGTAACAAGGAGGAAGCCTCGTATCTTACTAGCTGCAAGTGGAAGTGTGGCTGCAATTAAGTTCAGTAACCTCTGCCATTGTTTCTCAGAATGGGCTGAAGTCAAAGCCGTTGCTTCGAAAGCATCGCTGAATTTCGTTGATAAACCTTCTCTTCCACAAGATGTGACTCTCTATACAGATGAAGATGAATGGTCTAGCTGGAACAAGATTGGTGATCCTGTGCTTCATATCGAGCTCAGACGCTGGGCTGATGTTATGATCATTGCTCCTTTGTCTGCTAACACATTAGCCAAGGTACTAAGAATCATAGGAACCGTAGCGCGTAGCTTTAGATATGGAGTTGATCTCTTTAGCTTCATATCTAAAAACAGTCCTTTTTTTCTCTACAGATTGCTGGTGGGTTATGTGATAATCTATTGACATGTATAGTAAGAGCGTGGGATTATAGCAAACCATTGTTTATTGCACCGGCGATGAACACTTTGATGTGGAACAATCCTTTCACAGAACGGCACCTTGTGTTGCTTGATGAACTTGGAATCACTCTCATTCCTCCCATCAAGAAGAAACTGGCCTGTGGAGATTACGGTAACGGCGCAATGGCTGAGCCTTCTCTGATTTATTCCACTGTTAGGCTGTTCTGGGAGTCACAGGCTCGTAAACAAAGTGATGGAACCAGTTGACTTTTACTTAGCCATTGAGTGCTCTGTTTGCTCCAGTCATTAGCCCATATGATAAATGTATCTCTTGTTTTTGAATACACTAAGAACAAGCCTAGCTTGAGGAATTCTCTGAACAATCGATTACCCGTGAATCTTATGCAGATATTTGAAAACATCTATGGAAAATCAAAGCAATGCAGGTTTTATGTGGCACAAAGACTCAGTAAAAATCGAAACAACACATGTGTTTTTCTTTTGATTTGCAGTTCCATGATGGTAAAACAAGCAGATATTGTCCTCCAAAGGGACAGTTTTATTGAAGGGAAATGAATCACCATAGAGTTTTGGGGTAAAAAACATGGATTTTACTTCTTGTTGGCTATGAATAATCCCCATTTTTGTTCACCAGATGCAGTCCTTTCAAGCTTTGCTGTCCATCCTCCAACAATGTCATTGTAATCCTCCTGTAATAAGATTTTGTGATCAATATGAGAACACAACAAACAGGTGTTTTGCTCAATGAATTAGTTGTGAGAAATGTTTTTACTTCTGAGAAGTCGCTGATGAATTCTTCCTTTTCTTTCTCCACTTTATCTAATTCACGCCTGAGGACTCGTACAAACTGCGAAAAACGGTATTGTTAGAATCAGCATTTAAAGAAATGTGTATAAAATTTATGTGGGAGTCACCTGATCAGTACGGTCCTCAGCGATCACATCCTCAAAGCCTGCGTCTTTCAGCATCTACAAGAAGAAGGTTTCATGAATCATGATAAATGTGAAATGTCCCTCAATTTGTAAAATGAATAAAGGTTTTGTGAGAAATAAATAAACCTGTCCGTAAGCTTGAACATCATGGAGATCATATCCTCTTTGTTCTATGTACTCTGCGAAATCAGGAGACGGAGTTTCAGCACTTCTGCAATAGTCGGTGATGAGAACTTTACCGCCTGGTTTAAGCCACTTGAAGAATGCCCTGAATAGAGCTGGCTTGTCCTGAACAGAGACAAATGATGCAAAGGATGATAACCCAAAAAGCATCTTCAAGGGTGACAAAAGGAGATGTTTTTAGTAGCTTTGCTTACTTGGATGTGCAGTATAGTGTCACGGCTGTAAATGACATCGAAGGAATTATCAGGATATGTTTTTGTGGTGCAATCCGCGACTTCAAACTCGACTGAGCATTTGAGTCCAATGGCACGCTCCAGTGCGAAAGAGATCATGTTGACCGATAGATCGATTCCAACAACATGAACATCGAAATTCTCAGCCATGTAGAAGTCACCTCCACCAATACCACAACCAACATCTAGGACTTTCTGTCCGGGTTTAAGATCCATCTTCGCCACAAATTCTTTAGTTGTCTCTGTTAAGGAAAACAAGAACTTAGAGACAACACGCAGACAATACAAGCACATATGTCCTTATGAAGATAAAGAGTAAGAATGGAAATACCAAATCCACCAGTGCTCACATATCCTTCCCCAAAGACGCGCTCATAGCGCAAGATCCCACTGGACTTGTATTGAACATTGTCCAAGAAACGCTGGAAGTCCTTGTCATTCTCCAAGCTAACTTTTTGCCAAATCCAGCAAATCTACCATTACAGAGATAACAAAGTTTACCTCTTGGAAATCGAATGATATGGAAAGTAACAGTCTCTAAAAGAAACAAAATCTACCTGATTTTGATTCTTCTTGTTCTTCACATAAGCCCCAATGCATTTGCAACCAACCATGGAGAGCTCATATGAATTCCCAGAAGCATCACGTGTCTGGCATTCTTTGAAAACCTGCACACCATACATTTTAACTTTAGCAAAATTAGCACATCGATGAGCTGATATACACACATTAGAGAGCCTTCATGTGGCTAATCTCACAGTTGTGCATAAGATAAACATTTAGATCTCAGTCATATACATGATGATAACCAAAACTTTTACAAAGAACTTACATGGTGTAGCAGAAAAAAGACAGTCAACTTTTTCTAAAGATGCATATGAATGCCATAAATCAAAGTCAAGAGATTGAACCTTTGTATAGAACCTGGGTTCACGGTAGTGGGTGGGGTTTGACTTTCGCTTGCTGTCTCCAGATTGATGGAAACAAGATTCTCTGAAGAAAATGTATCCCCCTGGCTTTATCCATCCAATCATTCTCTCTGCCATAAGTTCCACCTAGGATCACCATCGATATGATTACGACTTTCGTCTCTAAACAGTCGAAAAACTACAAGAATTGAAAAACAGTTTCTACCTCTTTATCAGAGAGATACATAAGCAACCAGTTTGAGAAAATCAAGTCAATAGATCCATCAGCGATTTTCAAGTCTGGAGATGTTACATCAGCACACATAAACTTGATGTTCTTGTAATGCCCATTAACACTTTCATTCTACAAAGAACAACATCACCAAAGAAATTATGACAAGCCATGCTAAAACAGAAACTTTTCAACATAACAACAGCTAGCTACCAAAATAGTTTACCTTCTTAATCGCGCTTTCGATAAAGTCAAGAGCGATAACTTCACCAGCCTTTTGAGCTAATTCACCAGTGAAACGACCAATACCAGCTCCAAGTTCCAGCACAGATTTCCCTTCATATGGTGGGATTAAAGAGAGTACCTATATAGCAAAGAAAGACATCAGCCAAGTTCATGTTTCAAACTCAAGAGAACCAAACCACTTACAATAGAAATGTAACAATTACACAAACCTCAGGACGTTCTTCTTTGTCGAGATCAGAAGCTTTGGAGTCAAGCATCATAGCTTCAACAGTCAAATCACTTGAATGTTCCATCCAGTAACTCTTTTGGATATCTCTCTCTTTCTCTGTTCCAATTTTTATATAACCAAAACAAATTAAGAAGACACTCTCATACACTTTGGAAATAATGAAGAGACCAACTTTTTTTACACCACAATATATTTTATTCGAATTTTGTTTTTTTTTTAAAGCATTCACAACGTGATTAATCTACATCAATAATAAATTGATTTTCTGAAAGAGGGCCAACAAAAAAAATTAAAATTTCGAAATTATCATCATGATCATGATCTGATAAAGTAATTAAGGAGAAAAAGACAAAGAACAAAAGCAAAAGATTCGATTTTTGTGGGATTCCGACAAGGAAGAAGATATATTATAAGGAGAATATTACTGTAAGGTGTCGCCATTTTTGGAGAGGTCGTCGGAAAACTCAGAAGGAAGAAGACGATAGAGAAAGAGAAATGTGAAGGGAGATTTCAATGGCCTTCAACGGCGAGTCTGGATCTAGAGAAGCTCCTTGATCTACGATTGTTGGACTTTCCTCTTTGATTCATGTCGATCAATTAGAACTCCTCAGACTCAATTCCCTCAGATTTCTCCGGGAAGCGATGGTTTTGTGGTTCACAAGGAGACCGTTAGAGCGCTTTTCGAGAGAGAGAGAGAGTGAGATAGAGGGAGATGATGGGCTTTGGCCTTTGGGCCTTGTTATATCAGGCAATGAATATTAAGAACGCTTTTGCATCAAACAACATTTTTGTCGGCCAAGTATTCATTAATTAAGCCCAATGGGCTATACAAAGTGTGAAAAAACAGAAGCTAAATCTCCCCCATTTACAACCTTAATTATGATTAAAACTGCTTAAACCTATCTAATAAGAGATCAAAGGTGCCACGTGTTAGGAGACTGAGATCACGCAAGAAGGAGATGGGTTGATACAGTCGGCGCCGGTTTAGAACACATCCAACGCAGCTCCGCCGCCTAGCTTCTGGATTCCACCACCAGAGCTCTTCTACAGATCTCTCCGCTGCAAATTTTGATTCGATCCACCTCTTCCGTCTTTGCAAGAAGATTTCTTCGGATCTTCATCTTCTTAACCCGAAACTCTTAGAGGGAGACTCCGTCTAAGACCTAAATTGGTCCACTTCAGGAGAAGCATGATGACGAAGATATTAATCCGACGTGAGAGAAGAGTCAAGCTGACGGCAAGGAGAGGGAGATCAAACAAAGCGAACGGAATCAAAATAAGGCCCTGTAGAAAGAGATAACAAAATCCAGAACTTTAAACAGAGATAAGCCTGGAACTATTAAAATCCGATCCAGCCGATATGAGATCGGAAGTGTAAACAAAAGCTAATTCCGATTAGAAATCGGAATCAAAAAGAAAGATCTGGTTTTTCTCTCTCTCTGAAAGGTTCGAGAGAGTTAAGAAAGAGAGCAACTTTCCATCAAACAACATTACATAGTGGAGTATTGAAAGGAATAAAATAGTGGACTTGATAAAGAAATTGAAAACGAAATTAATGAACAACTGAACTCTAAAATTAATTTTGTGAGTTTTATATACACAAAAAAATAAAATACAAAAACAAATTAGGAAATACTTTGTGGCTAAAGTGATCTTTTCTTTCTCTAATCTTCTGAGGAAAACTTTGAATATAAGCGTTTGTATTATTGTATATGCGACTTTATTTTGTGAAATAAACGAAGTTTTAGAAGAAGAAAAAAAACAAGTCCAAAATTATAGTGTAGGAAGTAGGAACGAATGATATATAATTTTTTTTGGGGAAAAGTTTATGTAAGAATTATATAACTTCTAAACTTGTTTTCATAGAAGCAAGGTCTACGTACTAAGGTTATCTTGTGGGAGTGAGAATACCTTATTCTCTTCTCTTCACTTTTCTCTTCTTGATAGTGGTGATGGGGTTGTGGTAGGTTTGATCCTTCTCTTTATCTTTTTTTGCTGGTCTCTATATCTTGTGTCATACATGACATAAATCTGTTCACGTGCCTTGGTTCGAGATTTTCTCACCTAAGTTAATTTTGATGTATACAACTACTAGATGAAATTTGTGGCAGCTAGTAAGTGATTAAAGTTACCAATACTACATAATTCCTTTCCATGGTTGAAGTGTGGTGACATTTCAAACGAGTTATAATAAGGGCTTGGTTTTTTACCTCCACGAACACTAATGTGTGAAAAAAAATTGATACCTCTTATAACGTCGTAACTTTCTTAAATTGTATGCTTGCCCCAGTGATTATAGAAACACGTCATTTAGTAAACAAATAATAAACAAAATATACAAAGACAATTCCTACTATCGTTTTTTTTCTTCTAGTTCTTTTGCTTACATTAACTTGGGCTTTTAAAATTCAGGTTTAAATTAAGTCCCATAACCAAAACAGAGAAAAACAAATTATAGACCCTTAGATCCGGGAAGATCAATCCATTGAAGTTGAGCTTCAACCTCACCGCACTCGACATGTCTTAGTCTAAGAACTATATCTTGAACGAGCTTACCGTCAGACCAAATAACCCGAGACTCCTCGGCTAGGCAATTGTCTCGGCTAGGCTGGACCGTGGTCACAATGGTCCCAGAAGGGAGATCATGTAAGTGCATCTTCAATGCATTAACAAACGGCTTTATCACGAATTCTGCATCTCCCATCTTGTCGTCTTTGGTGAACGTGTCGTAGTCATACACCGTCTAGGCAAAATGACTACCAGTTAGTGATACGTAACATTTTATAACATTATGGTTATCTAAAAAATAAAAAATTGAAAAATATGATCGTAGTTGGTAGTTAATTTTTTACCAAGAGGACGGTAAGATTGGGATCTGAAACTGAGAGAGTTAAATCTTCATTCCACTCAGGATTTACATCTTTGTAAATAACTCGAGTCTTCATTTTCTGCCCATTCAATTTTCTCATTCGTTTCAATAATCATAAACTACTTTCTTTGCGTTAAATAATGATTCTTGAACCATAAAATGAGAATTTTGTCTCATATAAATTAATTCTAGGATGCACAAAGATAGATATTTGGTCTCCACCCTCACCCCCAGCGGACGCATCAGCTAGGGACCTCGAAGCTTCGGATCAATAGCAAGTAAATAATATTCAATTACCTATCGGCAAAGACTGAGTAATATATACCTTAAAGTCTTCCTAAACACTCGAACAACAAAAACAAATAGGAACCTAAATTCTTAACTACCAAAACTCTCAACACTCGTGATCGACTTTCAAACGGGCGACCTACATATTGGTAAATTTAATAAAGATCATATAAGAATCCGAACGCTCTTATGACCAAGATGTTTAAAAGGCCACTATTACCTAGCTATACCTTCATTCACTAAAAGTAACAAAATAAAACTTCCCCATCATATAGTTGAAAAAGTATCTAACATCAAAAAGTCTCTTCGATATTGAGAGGATTAATTAAAAACCCGACATACCAACTCAAGAACTAGGGCCATTTTAACAACATATTATGGCTAAGGTCGGTTACCTGTTTTCCCATTTTGACGACGACGTAAGGATCACTACTGTTGAGATCGCGGACTGCGAGATTGACGCCGCGTTTGATGCGAATACGGAGGAGACCTAGTAGACTATCCATTAAAGAAGGTTTCATCCTCCGATCTTTATGCTTCTCCCCTGCAACAAGATTAATTTTTCTCTAGCTAGTAGGAAAAAGTGAAGAAAAATAGAGAAATGAAATGATCATGCATGATTCTGCATAATCGAATTATACGTTTATGCAGGATTCGATCAATCCAAGACTATTCTAGGCTGAAACCAAATGATGAAAATTGTCTCGGTAAGGGAAAAATGGTGCAAAAAAACCCATTTATCAGAAAAGAACATATAATTGCAATGAAACAACCCTATAGAAAAGAAACATTCCACTATTTTATCGGAGAAACTCACCATAGCAAAACTTCTGTCTTCCTCAATCTTTAACGTTTTATGTTGTCTTCGTCAAATTTGTTTTTTTTTTTTTTTTTTTTTTTTTGTGTTTGTTTACATTTTCATTCCAAAAAGAAACAAAGATCTTATTTTTGTTTTACCGGAACGGGAGGTGAGAGTTTGTTAGTGGGAGAAACGAAAATCAAATAGCAAGGCAGGATTATTCCGGTATTGGTGGGAGATGAGAGGATATTTAATTTAGGATAAAAATTTAGTTTTTTTTTTTAGGAGGAAAATAGTGCTTTGAAAATAATAAAATCTATTTTAGTCATTATATGGAAAGTTAAATTTGTTCTGATTTTTTGTAGCTTCCAAATTTTATTCTTTTAATTACTTCCAAAATATTTTCACTTAGTCAATCAATTTTTGTATATTAAGCAAATATGGTTTGAGAAAAATATGAATCATGACTATTTTAAATTTATGTTTGTTTATTCAAATACTAACACTTTTGAGAACTCTTTCTAAAATGTGTTTGCCGTAGGATGGATTTTTAAAAACTTGCATGTATGGTTTAAAAATTGTTTGGGTTATAAATTGAAGTCTTTAGGATTTGCGGATTAGAAATATTTTGGGTGATATTTAGAGTTTGCCAATTTTGGGATCGTTTGGGCTTTCAAAATTCTTGTGTGTTTTTGGTCGACGGCTTGTAGTTCTACTCGAATTTTAATTAGTTTTTTGCCTCAACCAGTCAGCCCCGTCAAACTTGAACCTATGGCCGTAGTTATACCAGTGAAAGTTGGAAAAAGGGTATTTTCATACCTACACAATTTGTAAAGTGTGTTTTCATACTTGAACAAACATGTAGGGTTAATTCTAACCTAAACCGCAAAAAAAAATGAATTTTATACCCAAATTTTAGATTTAGTGTTTTTTTTCAGAGTCGTAATTAACCAATGTTAGTCAACCGTTACGGTTGCTGAGTCAACTGACACGTGTTTGATGAGATCGCTTAAAACGATGCCGTTGTGTTTGTTGGATTTATATTATTATTATTTTTTTTTTTTGCAAAAATCGGATCCCGAACCCTGACATCTCACTCGTTTACATAACTCATAACCTACAACCAGTGATATTTGGGGGATTCGAGACCCAATTTTGCAAAAAAAAAAAATTACAATATTAATTCCAACAAACACAACTACGTTTTTTTAAGCCACACCATCAAACACGTGTTAGTTGACTCAGCAACCGTGACGATTAACGAACACTGGTTAATAACGACTCCGAAAAAACAATAAATCTTAAGTTTGGGTATGAATTTTTTTTTTTTTACGGTTTGGGTGGAATTAATCCTACGTGTTTGTTCAGGCATAAAAACATATTTTGCAAATTATATCGTGTATGAAAGTTTGACAATATCTACTCCTATTAAATTTAATATTCGAGTTATATAAGTTTGACAATGTTTAAACCTACTATATTTAACTTTCGAGTTGTATATTCATGAAAAAGAGGATACAACTCAAATTTGTTTTTGAATATGATTTGTTTTATTATTTGAAAAAATGTTTTTGATTTTTGAAACATTAATTTTGTTTGAAAATAATATGAGTTTAAACTTTAAAGGAGGACAAAAAATAGTAACGAAAAGAAGTAAATAGTAGAGAGTGAGCCGGCCCATATCTTACCATATAATAAAGAGGCCCAATTGCTAATGACATAAATACCCTTCCGATTACTCGCAAAGATCTCCCAGTCCCAAGAATCAAACCGTTTTCACGTACACTGAGACCTCTCTCTAATCGCCTCCTCGCTTCGCCGTCGTCGTCCTCTTCACCGCCGGTGAGTTCTCAATCTTGGTAATTTCGTGCCTTCATGGAAATGAAATTCTGAGTGTAAAGGTAGAGTGACATTCTTAATTTTAGTCTCGGAATTGAATTTATCTTACTGGTGTAATGCAATTGCTACAGAATCTGGTTTGTTTCTTGTTTTATCGATCAGCTCATAAGATTTAATCGAAGAGATGTTGAAACATTAGTTTCGTCGAGTGAGTTCTAGGCGTTTGAAGTGTTCTCTTAACTTTTCTAGAGCGATTGATCAATTCAATTTTGATGCAAATCCTATTTTGTGATGATTATGCATTTGTGCATATAGTTTTATTTAGGGCTACATGTTATTTCTATGAGTTGCTATGATTGATTTTTTCTCTGTTACTGATAAATCACAGGAAATTGCGGAGTTTGTGGTGTACACAAGAGGGTATGTGCGGATGAATCTTCTTTCAACATATTCGTGTGATGAGAGATATGAATTCCCAAGCAGAAGTAGACCAATGGGAAGCTCTTGATCTCGGCGATTCTGAACTCCCGTCTTTTCTCCGCCCTTGCAAACGCAAATCTCCGTCAAGGTCTCTGCAACCGCCTGCGCAACAACAGAATCCTAAGGCGGGTTTTAATAGTAACGCAAATCACCTTCAGACTCTTAGGCGCTGCTCCTCGTCGGATCATTTTCTTGAAGACAGTTATTCCCGCTCCTTAATTCCAGGACCTGCTGGAGTTGTTCAAGTTGCAATCCGCAGGAAGATGAATAAGGATCCAAACTCGTTCAATGAGCATGGAGAACCAATTCCAACTCAAGAGTTCCTACGTAAGGCTGTGGAAGAGCCTGATTGGGAAGACAAAGATTTCTCCGAGGACCCGTGGGTCTCTGCTGTTGATTACATCAGAAGCGAAGGTTAGCTACTGATGCTTTCTCTAGAATCTGACACTTGTAGTGTTTGGTGCAAACATTGTCAAATCCCTAGGGTTTCTAGTTTACCATTTTCAAAAATTTTGGCAGGTTTGTTGAGCAATGGTGGAAATGCTATAGGGACACCAGTGAGTGAAATTAAGAGCAGATGTGACAGTTGGGGTAAAGTTGATCAGGTATGAATAACCTGGTACCCTCTGGCCTCTAGTCCATTCCCATTATATCAAGAAATCTAGTGATCATCCGGTTAGAGTATATTGGAAATCTGCATTCTATATTAGTCTTGTGTTTGCTTTTGCTCTGTGTTTGTGGAGAGAAAGGTGGAATATTCTGAAAATATCTTTTTGCTATTTGGCCACAAGTCATCCACATCTTGTCTTTGCATCTAATAAAATGAAAAGTGTACTGACATACTTGAATTGTGGTTGGTCATTGTAGGTCGTGGCAATTGTCAAAACTTGCACTCCAAATGGTCTTGGTGATGTCATGGTGACCCTTAAGGTAAAAAGAACATACAAGAAACTCTTAACAATGTGAATGGTTTCCACTTTTGTTATTTGTCACGTACCATTTTTCATGAGTCTCAAGTCTGTCTGTGTATTGCTGTTAGGATCCCACTGGAACTATTGATGCCAGCGTGCACAGAAAAGTTATCTCCGAGAGTGAGTTTGGAAGAGATATACGAGTTGGTGCAGTGGTGATACTTAAGCAGGTTTGTTGTTTTTCATTAAGGAGATAAACCAGTTCTCATGGTTTTGACGTTGCTACTTTGTTTCTCAGTCACTTTTGGTAATTCAATGGAGATGGCTAAGATAAAATGTGTTTTTCAGGTTGCAGTCTGCGCACCTTCACGGTTGTCAACCTATCTTAACATAACACTGAAGAACATTTCCAAGGTAGTATTTGTCTGGCTTCACCTTCTTCTATTCATTGGAATAGATGAAAATTTCTTAATGCTAGATAGTTTCCATTTTCAGGTTATCACAAACGATACTCCTGTTTTACCTAAGCCGAATGATTCTGAAACGAGTGCCAAGAATCCCGTTCCTGTGAATGGTAAGATTAAATTTTCTTTCTAGAGTTTTTTCACAGTTTGATCGAGAAACTCAAACCTTTGACTTGGTCTAACAGAAAACGAGGAATATTTGCGACTGCAACCCAAAGCCTTTACTGTGGAGCAAGGAACTACTCAAGGAATCATGAACAATCTCAGACAAAATGTGAAAGGAAGCAGTGAAGCACTCAATGATGTAGAAATGGTAGACCTTAATCCAGCAGAGGGAAGCAACGTCTGTCCAAAAAAGGGTGTGACAAAGAATCAGTGTGAAGTTAGAATGGAGCAGACTCTCTTGGGAAAACATGATTCAATCAGCCAACCAGAGCAGCAACTGTATGAAGATGTAGCTTCTGAGACTGATACAGCTGATGGCATTAGACCCGCGAAACAGATCAGAAGAAGTCGTGAACCACACATTGATGAGCAAGAGAATATAATGGGGAACGATGAAGTTACAACTCGAACTACGGTCCACAAATCGCAATCGATGGCGTCAACAATCTCGTTGCCACAGTGGACGGACGAGCAACTTGAAGAACTCTTTGCTTTTGACTGAAATAGACAGTTTGGATTTCTTTTGATGTAGGAACAATTCCACTCATCTAGATAGAGAGCAATGAAATAGAATGTTAAGCAGTTCCAGAGATGCTGAAACTATTGACAGAAATTTTCAACCACCAAAGAGGATCTAATACCCATCACGAATACCATAGCTTGTTATATATCCTTTCAACTTGTTCTTTCTTCTTCGTCTTCGTTAATTTCCCAAGTTTCTAGACAGAAAAATACAAATCTAAAACAATAATCACATAACATATTAGAATAGCTTGTAAAGTTGTCATTTTAAAACTAAAGGGACAAAAAGGAAACTCTTATAAAATAAAAGGTTAAAATTGCAAATAGTCAAAACTTGAAAAGCCTTCTCCTTTATCCACTCGTTCGCCGGCCAAAAACCTTCGTAAAACCTTCACTCACAGTCTCTCGTGAAATCTTACCGGAGAGATAAAATGTCATCTTCCAGAATATTCCTAGTCGGAAATACCATTTTCCGTCCTCACAAACCTTCCTTTCCTCTCTCTTTCAATCGCTTCCCCTCTGTATCTCTCCGCTTCAGATGCTTCTCCAGTGACGCCGCCACCGCAGTAACAACAACCACCGTGGATTCGGATTCGCCATATCTTGCTCCTCATCCATGGCCAGAGTGGATAACTTTCGTCGATCGCTTAAAGACGAAAGGATATTTCACCAAAGACACTGAAGATGATACGGTTTATCAGGAAATGAATCTAGTTAAAGATGCTTGTCTCAGCTTCGCTCGTGATCGTTACGACGTTCTCAGGTATACAATCTCTCTAATTTCTCATCTTCAATGTTCAAGCTTATCATCAGATACTGATTTTGTGCCTCTTCTTGATGCAGATCCTTATCATCAGGAGATGTACAAGCTCTTGTGGAGCGTGGATGCCCTAATCTCTTCAGAAAAACTGTGAATTCTTCCAAAAGGATTCGAGCTCATGTTCGATTAAACGAAGGAGATGTATGTTGTTGCATTAGCTATGGAATTGTTTAAACTTTGATATTAGATATATCTTTAGCTCATAAGAAAGGTTTTGTTCTTGATTTCTAGGTTTGTGGTTCTTGTGATCTTCGTAGCTCGTGTGATAGAGCTTATGTGATACTTAAGGATACAGAATCTGATGCTCGAACTGTTGATGTTATGCGTTTACTATTGTTCAATGCGCTTGATTCGATTGTTATCTCTCGAGGTGAAATTCCACCTGGTAAAGAACTTGTTCATGAGTCTGCAAGAAGACTTCTTTTAGAGTTGGTTGAGTTCAGTGAGAAGCCTTTAAGCCCTGCCTTGCCTAAACCTTCTTCTAAGGAATCTTTGTCTCCGAAGGAGAGGGTTTTTAAATTGAGGAATGGTGATGAGCCTTCTCAGCGTGTGGCTTTTAAATCGAGGAACGATGAGTCTTCTCAACGTGTGGCTTTTAAATCGAGGAACGATGAGCCTTCTCAACGTGATCGACCTCTTTACAGTGCAGATTGGGCTTGTCCTAAGTAAGTGATTTCTAAGAAGGATTAGCTTGTATGCCATGTCTCTAGAGAAATTGGTCTTCTGATCTTTTATACACTGTGAATCCATTTTTTTAGTTTCCTAAGCTCTTACCTTCTAGATCATATCTGAGGCTGCAATACTGTTGTCAGTTTCTTTGGATGAAGATGTAAAACACTGGTTTGAGAAATTAGTGTTTGTTTCTGTAAATTTCTGACTTTAGTTTTTGTGTTTTCTGTTACTGTGTTTCCTCTTCAGATGCGACTTCGTAAACTTTGCCAGAAATGAAAGATGCCGAGAGTGCAATGAAGTCGCTGACAGACGACCTGTTGCTGCTGTTGTCAAGGAAGGTGACTGGCTATGTCCTGAGTAAGTCTAAATCTGACAATTACCCATTTCTCTCGAAATCAAAAGTATAAGACTTTTATGCCATACCCTCATTGGTTATTTCCTTGCTGATTCCACAGGTGCAGTTTCTTAAACTTCACAAGAAACCAGAGCTGTCTGAAATGCAAAGCAAAGGGACCAAAGAAAACTTCAATGGTGAATGTTGTTGAAATGAAGAAAGGAGACTGGAACTGCACTGGGTAAGTTTCCCTTACCTCTCAAAGCTTTTACAAAATCTTTGTTTTTGCTTTTATGTCTTCGTGTTTGTTTATGATCATCAGCTGTATCTGCCTTTAGTCTATTCATTTTTTCTGTCTGCTAAAGATTGGAAGTTTGTAAAGTCATTGTATCTTTGCTCGATTGCTGAGTGATCAGACTGCGTTGTATCTATATTTTCAGGTGTGGATATATGAACTTTGCTAGCAACAAACAGTGTCGACAGTGCCGAGAACAACGTCACAAGACGCTAGCTGAGCCTGGAGATTGGGAATGCCCCTCGTGCGTTTCTCTTCCTCTCTCGATCTCTAATTTAGTAATTTGTTATCTTCATATCCTAAATCAGACTTTCTTGTTCCCTTGGTTCTTTTTTATTTTGCAGATGCGACTTTGTGAACTTTAGGAGAAACGATGTTTGCAAGAAATGCGAGTGCAAACGACCTAGCGAAGCCAATAACGATCAAGAAGACCATACATGGAAACGACCTGCCTTAGTGTAAACTTATGTTTTTTTGTACTTGCAAGATTCACAGCTTTGCTACTTCCTTTTAACTTGTTATTTCTTCTTCTCTTGTTGGGTTCCCAAATTTCTAAACAGAAAAAACGATTTTGGAGCAGAAAAATGGAAACTTAGTTTGTAGTCACATTCATCGTTAAGCTATTTTATATAGTCAAGTACAAACTATGCCATCTCTAAGAAAAACAAGCCATGATTACACAAAATCTCTAATACAAAAAAAGCCATGATTATACAAAAGCTTCAGGGCCAAAAAAAGGTGCAAGTTCTTCGTTAGGAACAGACAATCGCTATACTACGAAAGATTCCCGTGAGAGCGACATAAGCTATGCACAAACTATTGAGATGATGATGTCATCGGATTCCTGAGTTAGTCTCCATTTGAAATTTCACCTTCATATTCCTTCTTCCCTCTTCTTTATCTACCGAACCTTGTTCCTTGAGACATGATTTTGGTGATGGAACAGACTTTTGAGGCTTCTGAGCCAAAGGAACTTTGTTTACTTCATTGTCTTCCTCAAAGGGGTCGAGGTGGTACGTAACCTTAGACCGTCCTAGTCTAAACTTTTTGCTCCTAGCAAATTGATAAGCCGTCACTGCATCGATGCTCTGCACGAATACTACTTTCGCAGAGCTTTCCCCAGGGTTTACATCAGTTCTTGAAGCATCTATTTTCCCAAACACACTGAATCTCTTCAACAGTTCTGCTTTGGATGGGAGATCCCCATGTCTACTCAAAAACTTCATTCGCAAACATTTTGGATTAGCAAGCCGCATATCTTTCATCAGGTGTAGATTCAGCGGTTTATCAGTAGCAATAGATTGTTGGGCTGCTTTCTTCATTCTCTTGGAGTTTCGTGCAGATGATTTGTCTCGACTTGCTTTCCTTTTGATACCAATGGATCTGACATTATCAACTGATCTCGTCTGGTTTTCAACAGTTGTTCCAGGTTCCAAATCTTGTACTTGTGCTGCAGGTGCTATGCCTACATCATCAGAACTGAATTCTTTGTTTGAAATGCCTGTACTATGTAGAGAAACCTGTCCAACCTCCACAATATGTGACTCCAACGCATCCTCAGAGCAGTTTTCTCGTGTTCCATTAAGACTATTCATATCTAATGACTGCTGATTCAAGGTATTGGTACTGATGATAGAGCTATCAAGCTTGTTTCTTGGGCTAGCATATTTGTTTCTCATGGAACAAGCTAGAGTGTGACAGGCTCCCGGAACAACAAAAGAAACAGGCTTTGCCAAATAAGCGTTGTCGTTACTCACATCAAGCAAGGGTGACAGTTGTTTTGTCGATGTCACAGGTCCATCAACCAAACCAATGATGTCATCATGAGTATCAACCATAACATCAGGAAGTGCTTCTGATACATCAACTCTTGTGGCAGCAACGGAAGTGGTGTCTTCCTCTATCATATCTTCAATAGGAGGTTCTGAATTCAGTAAGCAGATACTCTGCTCAACTTGACAGCTTTCTTTACTCTTAGACCGGTGACCATCATCAACAGCTGTTCGAACCATGGTTTCACAAGCTTTTATGGTGCTAGAACTAGAGGTGGTTAGAGGGTTTTTCCATGTGCAAATCTGAACTACTTTATCAACACGCTGCACAAAAGAAGGAGAAGCACAACAAGGGATATCCTTTGGCAATGGATCACTTAGACTCAAATCTCTACTGTTTCCCACATCTGCATCCGCTGTCTCAGGAAACATAGAAGCCAGGTCCATCTTCTTTGAGTATTCAAGACACCAATATGATTCTTCAGAGCGATCCATTAGCTCTGCACCTGTACACATATTCACAGAATTATTTGAGAATACAAATCATTGCAATATCTGTCAATCAATACTTTGCCTTGTTCTATTGTAAACAGAGAATATAGATTCACACTCAAATTTCGTTTTTTAAGTTCCTCTAAAACCAATCAAACGAAACAATATCAACAATCTACCTTAAACAGTTCTAAAACACCAAAAATGAGAATTTCCACACTTACTTTCTATAGCTTCCTCATAGACAGATTTGGAACGCTTAAAATCAACAATGTAACGCCGAAAACTAAGGATTTGAGCACTCGAACTATTGGTCTCAGCTAATCTCCAGAGAGGCACTCGTATAGAAATGGCCATATCTCGAACAAAACCCAGAGCCGAATCCGAAGTTAGAGGAAACCATGGGAGAGAGTTTTCTCTATCGAAGTAAGGAGAATCAATAAGCGGCTGACAAGAACACCATAACCCAAACGAGATATTCCAAAAGTGAGCTCGCAGAGCTCGATTCACAAACCGGCGAATCCTCCGTGAATCTGAAATCAAGTTTCCGAAATCGCGATCGAAGCTTCGTAGACAAGGTTTTGGAACGTAACGCGGCTCCATTAAGCCGAAGAACGAGACTAACGATTCGGATGGATCAAGAATCCGACCCGGAATCCATGTATCCGAAAAGCTAAGGCTTACCCAAACTAGCTCCCCTTTCTTCCACATTTTCTTCTCTGATGAAAATTAGGGTTTAAGCTTTATCTCTCATATCATCTCTTTGACAAGACAAGAGAGAAGAAAGTGTAATGCTCTCTGTGTAACGTCTCCTCTAGAACTTTTTCTACTTTAATTGAATTACACTTCATGCTGTTTCCAACTCTCCGGTACTAACTGCTTGCCGATTTATTTAGCAACTTCATGCCGTTTCATTTATTCCGCCGTTGAAAAACCACAAAAGCCGCTGTAGCTTAGTTCGGTGATTCAATGGCGACGGTGACGACGGTGAATGTCAAACTTTCTCGATCTAACCGAATCTATCGCTCCTCCGTATGTGTCGAATCTCTTTTCTTATGATTAACGATATCAACGTTGAAGATGAATTTGAAATCTCTAGTTTTTGAATTTACTCAGGAACCAGTGGAAGGAAAAATTGTGATAAAATCTGCAACTTCTATTTCGCATCAACCAATACGTTTATCCGTCAATGGATCAGTCAACTTGCAGGTTTCAGATTCTCTCTATTGAAGCTCTTTCTTTAATTTGGTTCCGAGTTTGTTAAATTTCTTCCTCATACGACAGGTTCGTGGAGGATCAGCTGGAGTTATTGAGTCTTTCTATGGTGTCATCAAGCCTATTCAAATCGTGTAAGCATTTGTTTCTTCTCTGGTTCTTGAATTGATTCCTTGATGTGAAAATTACTCGAGCTCTAAGCAAATCATTCGAATTTTGGCCACAGCAAAAAGACGATCGAAGTTAGATCCTCTGGCAAAATCCCTCCAGGAACTACAGAGGTAAAGAACACAGTCCCATTGAGAAATATCTCATATAGATGCAACATGAGTAAGCTAAACTTTAGATTTTGCTGTAGATACCATTCTCGTTGAATCTGAGGGAGCCTGGGGAAAGCATTGTAGAAAAGTTCTACGAGACATTTCATGGAACAAATATCAACATCCAAGTCAGTAGTTTGATCAGCTTTTTTAAAGGGATTTTAGGATTTTTATCTGTGAATTGGGAAAAAGTTGATGCCAAAATCTGTGATAGTATCTACTAACTGCAGATATACCGCGAGGATACTTGCACAAACCTTTATCTGCAACAATGGAGTTTATTATTGAGAGCGGTAGAGGTACTTCTTCTTGACTTCATTGGTGTTTCTAGGATAAACTTGAACTGTTTTCTGATGTTTTTCCTCGGGGTTTGGTTGAAGTTGATCTTCCCGAGCGGCCAATTCCTCCAGAAATGGTAATCTTCTACATCACTCAAGACACACAGAGACATCCGTTGCTACCCGAGATTAAGACAGGTTTGTTCTTCCAACATCTTCACTCCAGTTTCGAGATTTCCTGATCTGTTAATGAGAAAACTAACAGAACTATTGATCTCACAAGGTGGTTTCCGAGTTACTGGAAAATTAGCCACCCAATGCTCTTTGCAGGATCCACTCAGTGGCGAGTTAACGGTGGAAGCATCTTCAGTTCCTATTACTTCTATCGACATTCACCTACTCCGCGTCGAGTCAATAATTGTGGGGGAAAGGATTGTCACTGAGACCTCTTTGATTCAGTCTACACAGGTGTTAACTATGACCATTTTGCTAGTTGTAATATCGAAATGCTTTGCTAATCAAGACCATGTTCAGATTGCGGATGGAGATGTGTGCCGTAACATGAGTCTACCCATTTACGTTTTACTTCCTCGGCTTTTGATGTGTCCTTCCGTTTTCGCAGGGTAAGTTTCTTTGCTTCATTTACTATAAACCTAGGCAGTTGATTGAAACAAATGACTCTCTGTTTAGTTTAGACTGTATAAACTGCTGAATTGATGATGATTGTGATCCTATGTCTTTGTGGAACAGTCCCTTCTCAGTAGAATTTAAGGTATGCATCACCATAAGTTTTAAATCGAAGCTAGCCAAAGCACAACCAAAGTCTGATCCAACAGCTCCAAGACTCTGGGTGAGATATAATCAATATTTCTTTCTTTCTTTCGACGCCTATGATTTGAATCATATGATTAACGACTCGTGATATTTTTCAGATGGCACTGGAGAGATTACCGCTGGAACTTGTCCGGACAAAGCGAGATCAGTTCAGCTGCTAAAGAACAAGCTAACATATAAACTCAACACATGTTTCTTTGTTTGTCATATACTCATATGCATACACTTGGCCTTGGAGTCGTATGCTTCCTAGCTTGATCTGCCTGCCTACTTAGGAGGTTAAAATCGTGTCTGCGAGTACAAATTCCGATTTTGTTACCCTGCCCCAATGTTTGTTACTATGTAGACTCCAAGATGTTCCTACTATGTTTTAAAAAGGGAAAGAAGGGCTCAAAACACACAGAGGGGTTAAAGAGATGATTTTAACCCAAAAGACAAATTGAATCAAATGAATATGTACAATGTGCATGTGTGTTGTATATACATAACTAGAAAACAGAGGTGATCGGTCAAAAAAAAACAAAAAAAAAGGCAAACGAAGACTTATCTCCTGTGTCTTACAGCCAATGGCCATTGTGGCGAATTGGGATGAAGAGCTTTGAGCAAAGCCGCAAACTTAAGAGCATTCTCTATGCTGCACCACTTGAGCTTCCATGTAACTAAATCCATTGTTCTCTTCTCTTTGATCTTTAATGACACAACACTTCCTTGCGAATCAATGATCTGAACAAGGAAAATATTCAAGTTCGTACATGGAAGTTGACATCTCATCTCACTGAAGTGTGAGCAAAAGGAGAAGAACAATGAAGAAACTTAATTATTACCGTCTCAGATATATCAGAAATGGAGCAGCACGAGTCAAGCAAGAAATATGGAGCTGAAGAAGAATATGCTGTTCGAGAACTTAATTGTTTGAAGTCCTCATTGCATATGAAGAGACGCCTACCAGCCACAAATAGCGACCGCAAAAGCCATGACACTTCTGTTCAGTTTAAATTAGACAAACAATCTTAGTAGCCGATCAATAATAGCTTTTTATTAGAGGTTTTTGACGCGGTGAAAATAAAGACAGTAACTGTAGTAATGAAACTGTGATGGTTCATGGTTCATGATGCAGAGTGCACTTTATTTGGAACTTTTTAAGTGAGCACAATCGATTTTAATCGATAAGTAAATCAAACCGGAGATAAAATTAAAAATGAAGGGGACATGACTTAATGTGACTATATATCCTATACTCTGGGTCGCCGACACATGCATGAGTAACTGATTTGGCCTAACCACAGGTTTGCAGAATTATCAATAAACAAAAAGTCTATTTTCACGTGTGGTTTCAGGGGAGAATATGGAAATTTGAGTGAACCATTTTTTTTTTATTAATCTAGGATATCATAGGCAAAGAGAGAAAATACCTCCACGAGTGGTGCTCTGAAAATGGAGAACATTGTACTGGAATATACTCTGCTTCAAACCTCCACATATTTCTTTCTCAAACAAGTCCACCTGAATATTCTCCAGACTGCCATTAACATAGAAGAAAAAATTATGACAGCAAAAATATACATAGCCGAATCTGCGTTGAATGTTAATAGCTTTACCTTTGCAAATAACATTTATACTCTGTAGCCTGGGAATCGAAAACTTGTGTGATATTGAGTAATTCTGTTGTTTTCTCAATACATTTGGTTACGAAAATGTATTCTACATCCTCCAAAAAGCGTAGCCTACCCACAAGAAAAGAGAAGGTTACTGGGACATGTACAGTGGATACAAAAACAAATCTACAAAGCCGAACTAGAAAAAGACTAACCTCACAAACTGAAGTCCTAGACCAACTGATACGTCTTGTAAATCCTTGATTTCATGAGAACATAGTACACTTAAGGTACTCCCTGCAGGCATACATCGCCATTAAGAACTCACCATCAGCAAAATTATGACGTGCTAGCAAGAAAGACAGCTAGTCTAACCTTCATAATCAGTAGCCACACCCACGAGTAGCACGTACAGCTTGTCTTGGCTAGTCAGCAGCAACACTGCTTCCCTGTATATATATAAAACCAAAATTCACATAGGATTTTTCACACATCACCCACTTTAAGGAAGCCCAAAGCATCTAATCTAATGGTATCATGTAGTACTACAATTTGATTGAATATTAAGAAAGCCTAGCCATACTAGAAAAATGATGAAATCTCTTTTCCCTCAGCTAGTCAGGAATCAGGTATCAAAACTAATGTACAAAACTTTTGGAAGGGACTCGCAGTACTATCCTTCACCTACAAACTACGACCATGCAAGTGGAACAATAACTCACCGTTGCTTGTATGTGGAACCTTTCTGTAGTATAAGATCACAATTCATGTACGTCCTACAAGTTTCTTGAGAACTGGAGTCTGACAGTTTTGCTGAAAAATATTCCTCTACTAAATCGCCTTTTTCTTCAAGTGTTCTATCAGTCCCCAAAAATTTGATACTCCTATTACTACTACTACTACAAACCGTTGACAGGGAATTATCCCAAAAATTATCAGAAATACACTCATCTTCACCAGAATCACTGATTTCTGCATCACTCCTGAGAGATATCTCTCCATTGGTAATGCAACTTTCCTCTTTCTGGAAGGAAACAAATCGTTTTATAGGTTTCCTTTTCACAACCAAACGGTCTGTCTGGTTAACAACATGTTCACCATTATGCAATCCAGAAAGAAAGTTAGCGGTATTTTCCTTCCTTGATTCATCTGTTCTCAAAGTTTTTATTGTGCTACCATTCTCCGGTTGTAAATCAAGAAAGCTTGTTCCTTTTGATCCACATTCAAGAATCTCCTTCCCAAGTTTATTCACATTAAGAAGATCTGTCAACTGCCCCTCTTTATGATTTGAATACTCAGATTCAGAGTCATAGTTATCATCTTCACTGCAGCTGCTTGTGCTATCAGATGATGCCACTGAATAAGAATCTGCAGACAACTGCAAGATTTCTTCCACCAAGTTATGACGCCGATATAAGACATCTTTCTGATAATGAGGGGGTGACCCAGGATACGATCCTGTCATATGCTGGGTTACATCCAATGTTGACATGTTTCCATTTTCAGCTAGCTTCTCCCTGGCAAGTGTTGTGGGTAACAGGTTGTTTGGTTCAACTGACAAAGATTCCACCTCATGGTGTAAACATTCCTGATGCTTCTGATTTAGATCTGTACTTTGAAGGCTTAATGACGAGATGTCATCGGTTATCTTTTGTGACTCATTACCTTCAACGTACTCTATATAATCCATACCGGCTTTATGATCCACACATGAGCCATTGCAATCTAAACTTTTCCTATAGCCCTTAGCTCTTGAAGCACGTAAAGACCCGGAAGCATATCTCGGTGTTCCACCATGATGCCTCGAGATTTGTTTAATCTTTGTATAGTACTTTTTTTCCAAATTGATACCCTGGCCGTCTTTACTGACATCTGCAAAATCCTCTGTTGAATGATCCATCCACTCCTTGAACTCTCGCAACCACAGAACAGAACGTTCTTTCTTCAGGTTTTCAACTTTACTTATAAGACCAAATATATCGGCTTCTTGATCACACTTCAGATTCTCTTTGTTCTCGTGATCACAGGAAGCTGACTCATAGTCAGAATTCACATAGGTCCTCTCTGCTTCGCTATCAATTGAAGCGAGACGGCAGATCTTTTTCTGTTAAAGGCAAAACAGGAAGATAATAAGTTTTCGATAATTATTTATCAAAAAAAAAAAAACCATGATACTGAAAAGCAAATAGAGAAGCTGAACACAGCATGTGCATGGCTCACAAAGTTCTCCAGAAAGTCATACCGCATTACCATTTATCACACAGGAAAAAAAAATCGCTACATAATATATGTGTGTGTAAGTACAGTATATTGTAAATGGACTTGAGGCTGTTTACCTTTTTTCTATTCCAGCTTCCTTCTTCATTAGCTTCCTCTCTAGCTGGAGAGTAGAATCCGTAGCTTGCAGGTTCACTTTGCCTATGGGCTACAATGATTTGCCTCTTCCAAAATTCTCTAGTTCCTATCTGTTTGCCATCTAGCTTCAGCTGAAAACTCATATAATACAAGAAGCATTACAAATCACGCACAATCGATATAGTGCAATATTTGTCTTCTCGACAAGATTCCAGGTCTCCAAATCAAGAAGAAAAAAAAAAGCTTACTTCATCTGGAAGAGCAATGTAGCTGAAGACATGCGCCCTGTACCATCGAGCACAACACACTGGGTTTCCTTCCAGCCACAATTCTTTCAGTACTGAAAGACTCCAAAGGAACTCCAATTCTGAAAAGTTGGAAATAATGTTGTAGGAAACATCAAGGCCTTCAAGTGACTTCAAGTTCTCAATCCCACGCAACGTAGTTAGAGCGTTGTTCCTCAAAACAAGTTTCACAAGATGACAGGATACCTGAATTGTCCAAAAACATGGATATATTGGTCCCAGATGAGCTAGACAGTGCAAATGACAAATAAGAATACGAACTTCAAGGCCAAAAGCAGATACTACAACATTCCTTCTCATCTTACAACCGTATGTGTTAAGTAAATTTATATTAATATGATTAAGTAAATGTCACATATGCATGGATATGGTAAAGTCTGAAGTCTCCCACCTGACTCAAGTAAGAGACTGTTCTAAGATGATTGAAACCGAGATCAAGGTGCTTCAATTTGGTGCATCTCCGAAGATTATCCACTTTCACAAACTTGTTTCGACTCAGATCAAGCGACTCAGCAGCTGGAAGAAGCTGCAAGGACTCATCCATGAGCACAAGACGGTTACAAGCACAAGATATGACCGCCAACTTATTCCATTCCGGCGAATTCGTTATCTCAGCAATTCTACTAGCGAACACATGCCGCAGAGCATCCTATATCAAATTGAAATCCACAACATGCAAAACCTTGAATCACTATACTAGTGCTGAATTGCTCTATACAAGCTAAAGTAGCACAAAGGAAGCAAAACTGACAGTGGAATTATGGCAGATGATATTTTCCAAAGTGTGACGGAGCTCAAGCAAGCCTTTAGCCGGAGAAGTGGACAAATCACAGCGACGAAGTTCCAAAACCTTAAGCCTACCAAAGGGAATAAGAGAGAGCGGTGTAGGATCACGAGCCGGGGAAGGAAGCGTGGAAACGACCTTAAGTGAAGTGAGGATTCGGAGAATACGACGGAGCTGCTCGAGTGCGCGGTAATCTCCTAAGTCAGAAACGTAAGCGCGAAGGTAATCAACAGGAGCACCGGAGAGCATGCGTTCAAGTTCACGGAGAGACTCGAGACGGAGATGAAGATAGTGAAGACCAGCTGGATTAAGCTTGAGAATCATTGTTTCTTCTAGAAGAGACTCAGCTTCGTCTTCTAAAAACTTCTCTAGCTTCTCAACATATCGATCTCCGGTGACAATTGCCATTGAAATCGGTGAAATTGAAGAGGTTTAGCTTCTCCGGTAACGGAATTACATACACCGACGAATGAAGAAACGTTGAAGCGATAAGAATAAGGAATTGTGAAAGAGAAAGGTCTTATTTAGGGTATAAGAAAGGAGGTTTTGGAGGGATAAAGATAGAAACCGCCATGGCTGATGCGAAAGAGAGAGGAAGAAGGAGAGGAATGCGAATGATTGAAGAAAGACAACATAAAAAAAAATAAAAAATAATAATAATAAATTCGAAATTGTTTTACAAAAGATAGTTTAAAGGGTGTTTTCGTCTTTTGTTACATGCGCCAGATTTCAATAAAACACCTGGCTGACATGCCTCTCAAGGAAGAATCCTGAGAAAATAAATACATTTGGTTAACTTAAATTATTAAAATAAACATTTTTATAGGATAGTAATTGTTGTCTGTTAATTAATTTACTAAATACACTTATAATTTTGAAGCTGTAAAAACTGATATTTTAAACAATTTTGAAGCTGTAAAAACTGATATTTAAATATTTTAAACAATATTTGGCGACAATTTGGCATAAACTAAGCTAATGACTACTCGTTATTCCGTTTTTTTTCGTATTTTTTTTTTTGCTTTTATGCCATCTATGTTTAAAATTCTTAGGAAATTGTAATATTTATTAAGTTTTATCATATAAAAATGTTTATAATTTTTCATTTAAATTTTTTTTTTTTTTTTAAGAAACCTAGTTAAAGATTCACCATTGGACAAAGAAAATTTTAAGGATTCATCAGAAACTCTTTAACTTTAAAATTGTTGTAAAGTAAGACTAAAATATGTTTAAGGATCCTTTTAAGGACTCATTCATTGGGATTGCTCTCAGTTGCTAATATTTCATTAAGATGTCCAAGAAAACTTATCCATCCTAGTCCTTAAAAGATGTAGTACGGCTATTTTCAAGCACAAAGGTAAGAGTATCACTAGACCACAAACCATTGTAATAACTGAATGTTGTTTTACTGATAAATAGAACTGATCAAGAGTACAAATGATGATATTTTAGATGCGAGATGTCTCTAAGAGTAATTGATTGCATACAAAATGTTCTTGTTCGGAATGAAATTAATTCTCCCCTTTATCTCTTTTCTCATTTGCTCACGATCCATATCCTCTCTGATCCTCAAACTTCAGGTGGATGTGCCATACGATCCCAACCACGATCTCAAACTTATTCATCCTTCATTATGAACTTCATTGGGCATGTCTTTTCCTAGCTCGAGTTTAGTGAGACATCCAACACCAATAGTGTCTATTTTACAAAATAAATTTCGAAGACTGTATATCTTGGTACATATATAAACGAGAATACAAATTGGAATCAATATTGGCTCAATACCAATAGGAACAGATTTTGTTAATTTCGTATCAAAAATCGATGAGGCCTTAATAAAGCAAGTCAGAGAGCTCAAGTGCCTACACATAGAAACAATACCATCAATAAACAAACAAAAACCAGTAATAACTATTGCAATAATTTCGAAGTTATGTTTGTTAATTACCATAAAATCTTGGTACATATATAAACGAGAATACGTATTGGAATCAATATTGGTTCAATACCAATAGGATCATATTTTGTTAATTTTCGCATCAAAATCGATGAAGCCTTAATAAAGCAAGTCAGAGAGCTCCAGTGCCTACACATAGAAACAATCACCATAGATAAACAAACAAAAACCAGTAGTAACTATTGCAATAAGTTCGAAGTTATGTTTGTTAATTACCATAAAATCAAGATACATATATAAACGAGAATACGTATTGGAATCAATATTGGCTCAATACCAATAGGATCAGATTTTGTTAATTTTTGCATCAAAATCGATGAGGCCTTAATAATGCAAGTCAGAGAGCTCCAGTGCCTACACATAGAAACAATCACCATAAATAAACAAACAAAAACCAGTAGTAACTATTGCAATAAGTTCGAAGTTATGTTGTTAATTACCATAAAATCTTGGTACATATATAAACGAGAATACGTATTGTAATCAATATTGGCTCAGTACTAATAGAATCAGATTTTGTTAATTTTCGTATCAAAATCGACAAGGCCTTAATAAAGCAAGTCAGAGAACTCCAGTGCCTACACATAGAAACAATCACCATAAATAAACAAACAAAAACCAGTAGTAACTATTGCAATAAGTTCGAAGTTATGTTTGTTAATTACCATAAAATCTTGGTACATATATAAACAAGAATACGTATTGTAATCAATATTGGCTCAATACCAATAGGATCAGATTTTGTTAATTTTCGCATCAAAATCGATGAGGCCTTAATAAAGCAAGTCAGAGAGCTCCAGTGCCTACACAGAAACAATCACTATAAATAAACAAACAAAACCCAGTAGTAACTATTGGAATAAGTTCGAAGTTATGTTTGTTAATTACCATAAAATCTTGGTACATATATAAACGAGAAGAAATATTAGTTAGACCATGTTTGTTTTGGTTCATTTCTAAAATTAGTTTTGCATTTTGAAGGCAACCTTATTTGTAAGAGAAACAAAATTTGCAAGTATTTGCATCTAGTCTAGATGTTGCACATAAACAAACAACACTTTAATACACAAACAACAAGATATTTGCATCAAGATCAAAAAGACTTTAATTTGGTTTGCACATATAGAGAGTAAAGCCCTCACCTATTTGGTTCATTAGGGATTGGCAAAAGAGGTGTACTGACATAGAAGCCATCTTCAGAACCTTTGGACATGGATCTAGGCTTTGGACCTACATAGATCGATCTTTGCTCATCGTAAACGCCTTTGTATACCACCCGTCGAAATCCTAACTCATCCACATTCTTCATTGTATTCAGCTTCATTGGTTTCGTTTCCAAGCATTGTCGTCTGAAATCAAGATGTTCCTTGTACTAGAAACAAAAGAGTGTTTGAACAAATTCTTTAGCAGATCAAAGAACAACACATAAATTCGAATAAGCTTAAAATATATATAATGAAAATCACAGACCAAATCTGTTTGTAGGAACTTATACGTCTCACCGAGACCATAAGTAGTGAATCCAACTAAGTACCATAACAACGCTGACCCTCTTTTCTTCTCTGCAAAACATTTTTAGAAACAAAAATTCCATCTTCGTGAATATATGCATAACCAAGATTCAGAGCTTAATCACAAATTAGACGAGAGAGAGCATGCGCAAGGTACTTGCGGGTGGTGGAACTGAAGAAAGCAATTGGGTCTCAAGATTGGAAGTAGCAGGGAGATTGCTAGTAGTAGAAGAAGACATGTACTGACTTTGAGAGATCAACCTCGTTAAAGTCTTAGAAACGAGTTTTGTCTTCCTTGTCTCCTCCAAGATTATTCTCTTTGTCTCCTTCAAGATTCTTGATCCTGTAAATTTTTGGTTGAAATCTATGACGACTAAGGTTTGATTAAATCTTCATTATAATGTTCTGCATTAGCACATGGCACACTACTAGTTATATTATTATCATATATGTTGGTGGAAATCTTTTATAACAAAATTTAACGAAAAGAAACAAAAATTATAACAACTACAATTGTTTTTCTAATGTGAGAATGGTAAGGTGGACTTTCACCAAAAATTCAGAGCATGTAGTCTTAGTTTAATGTTTTTATAAACATTGACAAGCGTAAAGACAAAAGCAGAGAGTTTATTGAACTTTATAACTTGCTTTTACAAGCCCATTTTACCAAAATCTGAAGAAACGAAGACTATACATTACGTGAGATACTATATTAACTAGGTGATTGCCCGCGCAAATGCGCGGGAATAATGCTGTGTGAATGGTAAAATCATGTGAGATAAGGGGTTGTTTAGGTGTTAGTGTAAGAAAATATGGTAAATTGTTTAGGGTTTACTGTAATAAAATATGGTAAATGTTGAAATTAAAAAATTCAATAATATTATAAATGCTAAGAAAATAATAATAAATCATCTTCTAAACAAAATTGCAAGAAAATAAGAAATCAACGAACATCATCATTCCATGGCATTCTATTTGCGTGTGACGATATGTACTTGGTCGTTTTCAGGATTCATGACATCCGATTGAGAACACCAGAAACAGTTAACGTTCAGTCGCCAACTTTAGAGTTTTGATTGTGAACGGAAAAAAACCAAAAAATAATTACCAACAAAGCATCTCGTCGGTAATATTGACTATTTATTGTCAAACTCATCAATCTGCAAATGATTTATACGTTTATCAAGTTGTCTTTCATCGGATTGCAGAAAACCGTCAATTTTGTATCTCTTGTTTTGTTATCATGGTTATAGCCACACTCATCAATGAGAAAATAATTTTTACGTTTATCAAGAGCTCTTTTATTACGTTGCAGAAACACATCAATTTTTTTTTTTATCATGGTTATAGCCAAACTCATCAATCCGCAAATGATATTTACGGTTTTTAAAGGAATTTTTATAACGATGCAGAAAACCGTCAATTTTACCCATTTTTCCGTTATAATGGTTATAGCAAAACTCTTCAATTAGAAAATAATTTATACATTTATGAAGAGCTCTTTCATCAGACAGGAGAAAACCGTCAATTTTCATCTCTTTTATTTTTGTTATCCTGGTTATAGCCAAACTCATCATCAACAAATGATTTCTACATTTATCAAGAGCTTTTTCATGAGACTGCATAAAACCATCATATTCGCTCTTCTTGTTTTTTTCACATGGTTATAAACTCATAAATCAGAAAACGATTTCTAGGTTTATAAAGATCTCTTTCATTAGACTGTAGAAAGCCGTCAATTTTGGTTCTCTTATTTTGTTTTCATGGTTATAGCCAAACACATCAATGAGCAATTAATTTCTATGTTTATCAAGTTCTTTTTCATGAGCTTGTAGAAAACCGTCAATTTTGTTCATTATTTTTCGTTATTATAGTTATAGTCAAACTCATCAATCTGCAAATGATTTCTATGTTTATCAAGTTCTCTTTCATCGGATTGCGGAAAGCCGTCAATTTTGTATCACTTGTTTTGTTATCATGGTTATAGCAGCACTCATCAATGAGCAAATAAATTTTACGTTTATCAAGGGCTCTTTCATTACGTTGCAGAAACCCATCAACTTTTTATTTTTTAATCATGGTTATAGCCAAACTCATCAATCAGCAAATAATTTCTACGATTGTCAATAGTTTATTCGTGAGCCTGTAGAAAACCGTCAATTTTGCTCCTTTTTCGTTATCATTGTTATAGCCAAAATCATCAATCATCAAACGATTTCTAGGTTTATAAAGGTCTTTTTCCTTAGACTATAGAAAGCCGTCAATTCTGGTTCTCTTGTTTTGTTATCATGGTTATAGCCAAACACATCAATGAGCAAATAATTTCTACGTTTATCAAGTTCTTTTTATGAACTTGCAGAAAACCGTCAATTTTGTTCATTGTTTTCGTTATTATATTTATAGTCAAACTCATCAATCTGCAAATGATTTTTATTATTGTCAAGTTCTCTTTCATCGGATTGAAGAAAGCCGTCAATTTTGTCTCTCTTGTTTTGTTATCATGGTTATAGCCACACTCATCAATGAGCAAATAATTTTTACATTTATCAAGGGCTCTTTCATTACGTTGCAGAAACCCATCACCCTTTTTTTTTTTTTTTTAATCATGGTTATAGCCAAACTCATCAATCAGCAAATGATATGTATGGGTATCAAGGGCATTTATAAAGTTGAAGAAAACTGTCAATTTTACCCATTTTCCGTTATAATGGTTATAGTAAAACTCTTCACTTAGCAAATAATTTATACATTTATCAAGAGCTCTTTCATCAAATAGGAGAAAGCCGTCAATTTTGCTTTCTTGTTTTTTGTTATCCTGGTTATAGCCAAACTCACCATCAACAAATATTTTCTACGTTTATCAAGAGCTTTTTCATGAGGCTGCATAAAATTTTCATTTTTGATCTTCTTGTTTTTTTTATCATGGTTATAAACTCATAAATCAGAAAATAATTTCTACGTTTATCAATAGGTGTTTCATTAGGCTATAAAAAAAACTGTTAGTTTCGCTCAGTTTTTTTGTTATCATGGTTATAGCCTATCTCATCAAGGAGCAAATGATTTCTACGTTTATCAAGAGCTCTTACATCGTCCTGTAAAAACTTATCAATTTTGCTCATTTCCCATTATAATGGGTATAGCAAAACTTTTCAATCAGCAAACGATTTCTACGTTTATCAAGAGCTATTTCATGAGACTACAAAAAACCGTCAAATCTTCTCCTCTTTTTTTGTTATCATGGTTATAGCCAAACTCATCATCAGTAAATGATTTCTACGTTTGTCAATATTTTTTTCGTGAGCCTGCAGAAAACCGTCAATTTTGCTCCTTTTTCGTTATCATTGTTATAGCCAAACTCATCAATCAGCAAACGATTTTTAGGTTTATCAAGATATCTTTCATTAAACAATAGAAAGCCGTCAATTCTGATTCTCTTGTTTTGTTATCATGGTTATAGCCAAACACATCAATGAGCAAATAATTTCTACGTTTATCAAGTTCTTTTTTATGAACTTGTAGAAAACCGTCAATTTTGTTCATTGTTTTTGTTATTATAGTTATAGTCAAACTCATCAATCTGCAAATGATTTCTATGTTTATCAACTTCTCTTTCATCGGATTGTAGAAAGCCGTCAATTTTGTCTCTCTTGTTTTGTTATCATGGTTATAGCCACACTTATCAATGAGCAAATAATATTTACGTTTATCAAGGGCTCTTTCATTACAGTGCAGAAACCCATCAACTTTTTTTTTTAATCATGGTTATAGCCAAACTCATCAATCAGCAAATGATATTTATGGTTATCAAGGGCATTTTTATAAAATTGCAGAAAACTGTCAATTTTACCCATTTTCCGTTATAATTGTTATAGCAAAACTCTTCAATTAGCAAATGATTTATACATTTATCAAGAGTTCTTTCATCAAATAGGAGAAAACCGTCAATTTTGCTCTCTTTTTTTTGGTATCCTGGTTATAGCCAAACTCATCATCAACAAACAATTTCTACGTTTATCAAGAGCTTTTTCATGAGGCTGCATAAAACCATCATTTTTGCTCTTCTTGTTTTTTTATCATGGTTATAAACTCCTAAATCAGAAAATAATTTATACGTTTAACAATAGGTGTTTCATTATGCTGTAAAAAAACCGTTAGTTTCGCTCATTTTTTTGTTATCATGGTTATAGCGAAACTCATGATCAGTAAATGATTTATACGTTTGTCAATAGTTTTTTCGTGATCCTGCAGAAAACCGTCAATTTTGCTCCTTTTTCGTTATAGTTGTTATAGCCAAACTCATCAATCAGCAAACGATTTCTAGGTTTATCAAGATCTCTTTCATTAGACTATAGAAAGCCGTCAATTCTTGGTTCTCTTGTTTTGTTATCATAGTTATAGCCAAACACATCAATGAGCAAATAATTTCTACGTTTATCAAGTTCTTTTTCATGAGCTTGCAGAAAACAGTCAATTTTGGTCATTGTTTTTCGTTATTATAGTTATAGTAAAACTCATCAATCTGCAAATGATTTCTATGTTTATCAAGTTCTCTTTCATCGGATTACAGAAAGCCGTCAATTTTGCCTCTCTTGTTTTGTTATCATAGTTATAGCCACACTCATCAATGAGCAAATAATATTTATGTTTATCAAGGGCTCTTTCATTACGTTAAAGAAACCCATCAACATTTTTTTTTTATATGATGGTTATAGCCAAACTCATCAATCAGCAAATGATATTCTCGGTTATCAAGGGCATTTTTATAAAGTTGCAGAAAACTGTCAATTTTACCCATTTCCGTTATAATGGTTATAGCAAAACTCTTCAATTAGCAAATAATTTATACATTTATCAAGAGCTCTTTCATCAAATAGGAGAAAACCGTCAATTTTGCTCTTTTGTTTTTTGTTATCCAGGTTATAGCCAAACTCACCATCAACAAATGATTTCTACGTTTATCAAGAGCTTTTTCATGAGGCTGCATAAAACCTTCATTTTTGCTCTTCTTATTTTTTTATCATGGTTATAAACTCATATATCAGAAAATAATTTCTACGTTTATCAACAGGTGCTTCATTAGGCTGTAAAAAAACCGTTAGTTTCGCTCATTTTTTTCTTATCATGGTTATAGCTTATCTCATCAAGCAGCAAATGATTTCAACGTTTATCAAGAGCTCTTACATCATCTTGTAAAAACTTATCAATTTTGCTCATTTTCCGTTATAATGGTTATAGCAAAACTTTTCAATCAGCAAACGATTTCTACGTTTATAAAGAGCTCTTTCATGAGACTACATCAAACCGTCAAATCTTCTCCTCTTTTTTTG